CTGCTTTGTGCTAGGCACTATTATACATACAAAGTTTCAGCTGCTTTCCATTATAAAGCAGATTAAAACCTTCTCACCCTGTAACTCAAATCAAAAATGAAGTGTAACATTAACAGATACAAGAGTTCGAAAATTTAAGAATCCATTTTGGATAGTCTAACAGCTTGGTCTGTTAAGCTCCAAATTTGGCTGAACATTATTCAGTTATCACTTGGGCACTTCAGAAATTCTGATGGCTAGTTTTGGATATGTCTGTTACTTTCTTTTTTAATTCAAGAACTGCACAAGTGAGATTAGTGAGGCCATCCATTAGATCAAAATTTTACCTCTTACCCTCCATGCAGGCCAAAGACATTCCTGTATCTTCACAAAATCCTCAAAGACCCACCACTATCAACGCCATTATAAACCACAAAAATAAGGTAGCCAAATAGACAGAGTGACAGCACCCACATAAATATCAGCCCTTATTGTATCTGCTAATGTTGTCTGAGATGCAACCAGTTATCTAACCTGATGCTTTCATCCAAAGTGGAGATCAAACAGATCAACTTAATTTACTCTAAAGTCCTTCCCATTGTCAGGTAATGGGTGTCCATTATAGCTCTTATTCATATCTGGCTGTGAATTCACAAGCTTTAGACAATCCTGAATATGAGCAAGAGCTGATTAATTCATTTACTCTAACCTGCTTGTCAAAATGTCAAATCAAAAACTTAAGTATTTTTTGTGAATTAAGTTGTAGTACAATGGGTAAGGCTAGTTTATAGGAATGCCTCCAATGGCAGATATTTAATCTCTACAGGTATAAAATGCAGTTAGGGTTACATGTCCATTTGTCCAATAAACTTAACCAAAATGGCTACTGCCACAAACACATAACACACTGATGGATTACAGATAAGAGTGTATGTCAAATGAATAAGCTTGTTTGAAATTGTACTTTTGAAAGATTTCTGCAGACAGGCTGCAAACTAAGCTTTTCATATGTATCCTTAAAATAAATGTAAAGTTCTTACAGCAGTTAATTTTTCTGTACTCACTGTATTAAAGAGACTTAACACTGACCTCTCTACATAAAGCTACAACTTTACAAGCTTCATCAAGATTGCTACTTTTTTTAAGTCTAAATTAAATATTTCAAGTGATAATGAAAAATGTTTAGAACAAAGCCAAAAGCAGAAGTTTGTCATGCATGTATCTTGGAAACTAATAAAATCAAGATTGCATATGCGGGAGTGCCGATGCAAAATATGGAACCCTCAGAAAAAGTCTGGATCTATCCTGGTTTATTAAGAGATTATGATTTTCAGATGTTGATCATTCACAGCTTCTACAGAAAAATCGATCTGTTGTGAGCACCTAGCACCTTTGAAAGTCAGGCCATAAACAATATGTCTTCTGATGCCCATTACAAAGTTCACAGCATCGAATCTTACTAGAAGCAAGTTTGTTACAACAACATATTCACAGCATGTTCACTTCAATTTGCAAAGTACAAGGCCTCTAACTAGACTTACCTGGTCTCATGCGTACCCTGCGGATATATTTCTCTCCCAGGAAGTTACGGATTTCCACAAGTGAGCCATTTTCCTGTATAACTACGTTGATGGGGAAGTGAGCATACACAGACCTCATTTTGTAACGAAAGCCCTGGGAGAACCAAATCAAAAATTTCACCATGAAACTCAAATGTGTTACAGCAGCATTTCTCAAACTGAGGTCTGCAAGGGTACTCGAGGGGGTCTGCAGGCCCCCGCACATCAACTCAACTCCTCCCCCACCTTCCCAGCATCTCCTGCACACCAGAGAAGTCCAGGAGGCCCTGGGAGGGAGGAGTAGGAGGGGGGACAGGGCCCACTCAGGGGAGGGGGCAGAATCATGTCCGGGGCAGCCTTGCTGATCAACTCCTCCCCCTCCCTTCCAACACCTCCTGCAGCTCCCCTGCATGCAGGAGGCACTGGGAGCGAAGGTGCTCGGGAGGCGGAGGGGGGACGGGACGGGGACGGGTTCGGGGAAGAGGAGGGGCAGGGTTGGAGCGGTGGCAGGAAGAGGTGGGGCTGGACCTTGGAGGAAGGGGCGGAGTGGGGCCAGGCCTAAGTGTTGGTTGCTGGGAGTAGGCAGCAAATTTTAAAATCAAAATGGGGGTCCTCGGGTTACTGAAGTTTGAGAACCGCTGTGTTACAGAGCTATAAGACTGCAAAACTAGGAGATACATTTAAGAGTTACTGGACAAATGTGATGAAACGTTAGACAGTTTCTGGAGAGTATTTTAACTTTTAATACAGAAGAGTTGCTTTTGAAGAATCAAGCCCTAAAGATCTTTAGAGTTGGGAGAGAATGTTAAGCAGAAACATTAAAGTGATCTCACTGGCAAAGGCAAGATCATAGGTAACCCACACTGTATACAGTACCTTTCATTTAGCATGGCTACAAAAATTTCTCATAAGAATGAAGTTGTCTGATATTGTTAAGAATCAAATGACAAATATTCTATTTCAAAATAAAACTTACCAATGTGACACCCTTGATCATGTTTTGAACATGACTGCAAATTGTACGAACAGTTGCCAGCTCCTTTCTGTTACCCCACCATTTGTCAACCCGTAGCTATAATAAAAGTTCAGCAAAGCATTCAGTTTCAATTCAGAATTAACAAACATGTTACACATAAGGAATTAAACTGGTTTTTGTATAACCTTCAGCAAATCACTTAATCTCCACAAACCTTAATTTCCACATTTGTGAAATAGAGCTTTTAACATGTATAAAGGAGTCTGAGGAATACTGATGCAAAGTGCTTTAAAACCCTCAGATGACAAATATTTGTGTGAGTGCAAAATATTGAACAGGAAGAGAAAGTACAGGGCAGTAACAAAGCAAACTTCCTGGCATTGTTCCATCAACCTTTTCCTGTATGGACTGTCTAGGTGAGAAGCTAGCTCCTTTTCTATATACATAGAAATATTTGACCTCTCCACACTGCCAACTATGGTGATGGCAAGTTTTGTGCTTGTTCATTAGCAAAAGCATTAACCAATTTCACATATCACCAGGCAGCCCTCCAATGGCGTATTTCTTAATCTATGCACTGGAAATTGTATGCCATCCTTTACACGTTAAGCAAAACACTAATGTGCCAGACCTATACTCTTTACCTCAAAGATTTTAAGCAGGTTTTAATGCTCACTTTGCCAAATGTTCATTCAAAAGGTATTAGGTTAGGGAAATGTTTTTAGAATGTCTTGTTTAGAAAAAACTTGAAAATATGACTTCCCAGTAAGCAGAATCAAGCTTTCTATCTAGCCTCCTTGTAATCACCACCAAACACCAACTGAACTTGGTGGTGAATGCATAGCTAAGGTACCAATGAGCACACACACCCCCCCCCCAAAGTCATGGCCCAGCAGAACTCGAAAAGAAATTTGAAAGAGCAGACCAGGCACATCAGCTACCTTCATCTGCTATTAAATGACATATCCAAGAAAACTTAACTAAGATGCACTGAGCTATCAATGCAGCAGAATTCTAGGTTAATCTTGCTTACTACATATAGTTACAGTTTAAGTAATAAAATACTATAGCTGAACAAAATTAATTTGGGAAATCTAAAAGCATCCTTCAGTAAATGAATAAAATGTTCATTCAACATTTCTAATTACATACATACCCCACAATTTTTAACACTGAAAACCTCCCCAAAACTGTAGCTCCAAAACTGAACATTTAAAAACAGCATGCCCGCTGACAGACACTCGTAATACCTGACTGCATATCAATACTGAACCCTGACTCAAACACCCAAGATGCGCCTAGCCACCTTAGAAACTTATATGATCCCTTGAGCACCTCACAATCTTTAGTATTTAGACTCACAATACCCTGTGATATAAGAAAATACTACTGTCACTTTTTAAAAAATACAAGAACTCAGACAAGCAAGGCTAAGTGACTTTCCAAAAAATCACACAGGACGTTCGTGGCAGAGCAGGGACCTAAACTTAAGTCCCTCATTAGTACCCCAGACACAAAATCATCCTTTCTCTCTCTGAATATAGAAATAATCCCAAAATATCCCTACAATGCTCACCTTCTTGTGCTTCTTTCCCAAAAGGGAGAGCTCTACATTGATGTGGTTAAAATCCCGTCGCAAGGTTCCTCTGGGACCTTTCACAATAACTGCCCGGCCCTTCAGAGAAATGTCGACTGGAAGACAAGAAAATCTAGTGTTAACCTGTTGCAGGACGAGAGTACAAAGCTTACGTGCCACTAGCAAGGGACTGTACCTTTCTCCGGGATGTCAACAGTCTGGTTGCTGAGAATGGTCTTCATTCTACAACGACAACCACAGGGTGAGGGCAGAGACAACAGAGACCCGCACTGCGCCTTCCCCAGCCAGCCAGACCCAGCCCAGCCTCTCCGACCCGGGGCCCACAGGCCAAGGGAGCGGCCGCGGCGCCGCTCCACGCCCCGGCCACGCCGCGCAGGGAGCCCGGAACGCGGCTAGCGGGCTGCCCCGCGCCTGGGCCCCCGCCATGAACACTCCACAACAGGGGGGCGGGGGTCACTGCGGGCGGGGCAGGCTCAGACCCGCGAGCGGCGAGTGGCCGCCGCAGACCTGGCCTAGCAGCTCCCGCCCGGCTCGGGGAACCAGCGCCGGGCCCCGGCCGAGCTTCCCCGAGACCGGGGGAGGGGGGAGGTCTGTGCCGGGGGCTTTCCCCGACGGGCCGGGGGCAGGCACATCCCCGGGGCGGCCAGGACAGTCCCTAGAGCCGCCCTGTGCCCGGCGCGGCATCGTCGGGGCGCGGGGGGGGGCCTGGTGCCGCGGATGGAAGCAGATCGCGGACAGGGGACAGCCCTTACCTCGCTGCAGACCGAGGGGAAAGGGAGAGCGTCTTTCGTCATCGCGTTCTTGTATCCCGTCCGCCTAGGCCTGACGTCATCACGTTCGGCCACCCGGCTCTGAGGCAGGAGCAATCGTCCGCCGACCGCACTAAGGCCCGAGCAAGCGGGGAATGGGGCCAGGCAGCTCAGCTGAGTACCGATCTGACCGCTCGGGACTCGTCCTCGGGGCTCGGTGCGGGACAGAGCAGCGGAGGGTGGCTATGGCGCTGCTTCAGCGCGGCCGCTGCTGTCGAGTAGCCGCCACGACAAGCCTGAGCCGGCTGGTGCTGGGGTCCCAGGGGCGGGTGAGTGAGCGAGGGCGATCTTCCCCGGTCCCGCTCGCTAGGCGGCTCCTGCCCCCCGGCCGGGCCGGGGTCTTCCCCCAGCACAGGGCCGCGCCCGCCCGCCCGCGGCGCCGCTGGGCCCCTCGGGGTGAGCTGCTCCTGCCGCGGCCCTGTGCTGTGTAGCGCCGGGTCCGGGGCTCGACCCTCTGCGACCAGCGCTCGGCTCTGCCCTGCGGCCCCGGGCCGCCCCCGCCCTGGCGGGTCCCGAGCCCCTGCCCGTGCCTCGCTGGAGCTGGGCGCAGAGCCGACCCCGGACCCCGAGCATCGCCCAGAACAGACAGAGCGGGGCGGTCCCCCATCACCTCCTGCCTCGGGGTGCAGCACATGCAGCCCCAGGGCGTCTTGGCCTGTTGGTTGCAGCATCCCCTGGCTAGTAACCCGCGTCTCACTTACTGGCCGGGGTCACTCCCTGCTTGCAGGCTTCGCTCTCCCATCGAGTGGCTGTGTTTCAGTTTTTCCTGAGTGTGTGTGTTTTGCGTTTTTCCAAACTGAATCTCATTTATATTTTATCTGTGTTTCTAATCCGAAGAGATTGGTCCAATAAAAGATATTACCTTACCCACCTTGTCTCTCTAATACCCTGGGACCGACTGGCTACTACAACACTACTGCATAGGTAGATCCCTTTGTGTTTCTTCTGTGTTCTCCCTGATGTTTGTGAGATCTCCCAGTTTAGTGCCCTCTGTACAGGGCTCAAATTGTGGGGAGGAAAGACTGGTAGTAGTGGCAGGACTCTCTCAAGCTGTACCCGCAGCTGATCTCTGGAGATGGCAGAATGAGATGCTTCTAGCAACAGGTATTCAAAATATGATTGTTGCAGACTCTTTTGAGCCCCTTGAGTCCAGCTCTTCTGCAGAAGTTCCAACACACTGTATGCATAATAAGCTTGTGCCTCTGGCCCAGGATCGCAGAGTTATATAATGATGTCTGAATCTGAGCATTCATTAGAATTACATTTCTAGCTCTCATGGTTGCAAAGGAAAGCTCAAAAATATGATCTGAGTATTACTGATGGAGTTATGTTTGCTTGTGTCTGCAGTCAGCCTCCAGCAGAGAAAGAAGCAGCAGCCACTAGAGCCATGAAGGAAGCCACCTGACCCTATGACCATCAACAGAGCAGAGATGGCCCTAGCTGCTTTGGGACAGGAAGAATTGAGGGACTACTAGCTCTATAGGATTGGCCCTCTTGGTGAGGCTGGGGCTTTGCATGCACTTAAAAGTTAGGTCAGCATAGCTCTGTCAGTTAGAAAACCACAGCTCTGACTAATCCCCAGTGGAGATGCAGTTATGTAAATAGAAAAGTGCTTCTGTTGACTTAACTAACTTCATTCAGGTTGGTGGTGTTCCTACACCAATGAAAGAAACCGTTCCACCAGCATAGGCTGCATTTATATTACAGGGTTCTGCCCTCATATCTGCGTGGACATAGCTATACTAGTATAGTCTCCGTAGTATAGACATAACTTAGGTCCCTGGGATCTGTTCTTTCCCTTGAGACTTTTAGCTCTGCAAGACAGATTGGGAGGGGAAAATGATGGTACCTCCCAAATCCTGTTCATTTGTGGCTCCAAAACGAGACACCACTCACAATAGATTGTACTAGACTGTCATACACTTTTGCCTTTCTTATGTGTTTTGATAAGAGTGAAGGTTCACGATGTTGATATTTACATTATCATCACTGGACAAATGGGCTGCTCATCATCGGGTATTGGGATGAATGGGGCAGTTCAGACCTCTCTGAACTATTGTTTGATGTTCCTGGAAGACTCAGACAGACATCATTCCATTGGTTTACAACACTCATTTTATGTTTTCAGGATTTTCTCCACAACCATAAAGGCTACCGATTTTTTTTTAATGGAAATTAAGATTCTGGATCACAAGAGGGCAAACTCAAAAAAAAAAAAAAAAAAAGCAGCATTGGGTTTCTGACTCAGCCCAGTTTGAGCCCTGGTCATTGATGCCATTTAACTCCTCTTCCAGATGCTATTAAATAGCACTGGATCCTAACAACAAACCCCATCGTTTCTCGCTAGACATTTCCCCCACTACTTACTTGATCATGCTCATTTTCACCTTTTGTTTGCAGTCCTTTAGTTATTTTTTAATCAAGATGACAATATTTGAACCCAAATCCATATTAATTAATGTTAAGGATAAGATCTTGTGGAACTTTGCATTCCTTCCTGTCTGTCTTACATGCATTGAAACCGAAAGGATGATTATTCCAAAAAGGCCACTGGGGCTCAGAAGATTAAATAATCTGACCTATACAGTGGGTCGCCAAAAGGGTTTGAGAGCTTTTAAGACTTTTATGTTGAGGTGGCTGAGGCATTCCAACTGCATCACCTAGAGGCTTGCTTGGCTACATGTTAAGAATCTCCCATCCCCCCCTTAGCTGTCAGAGCTCACTGAACAATGGCAGTTTCCAATTTTTAGGCCTGAAGAGGAGATTCTTTCTCTTTGAACTCTAAGGCCACCGACTTAAAAGCACTACACGTTTTCCCACGTCACTACTCACTTTGATGTGTAGGGTACTACGGATGCTTTCTTTGGCAGATGTATCTTTTATATGGTAATTTATTATGCTCGTGTTTTAAATCACCCTGCGTTTTCTATACTGGCTACTGCTGGTATATTTGAATGCTGCTAAATTTTAGTTACTCCATTTCTAAGTACGTACCAGTGCCATCCTGCCCTGTTGCTGTAGTGGTATTGGAGCTCCCTCCTATTTGCAAGTTTTTGAAGATTATACTTGAATGTGCTGTACATTTTTTGCTCTAGTATGTGCTTAATCAAGCAATACAGTAATTTAAGCTTATTCCTTTGTTCACATTTAAGTGTTCAGCTTCTTCTAGTGTTTTGATTTTCACTTTTGAAACTTATGGACTTTGCGGCATCTGTCCCCTTTCTAGGGACTGAGACCGGAAAATATTATTTTCCAGTCTCCATCTGCTGATTGCCTATGTCTGCATTTGCATATTATTGTACTTGAAAAACAAGAGTCAAAATTCTGCCATTGGATGTGTGTTCATAGCTCCCACTGAAATCAATGAGAATTGAGCACAAACTTCCAAGGATGGAAGTTGGCCTTAAATTAACAGGTAAAAAATAAACCTTTCACAATTGTTCTGTACAACTCTTGTAAGGCCTGTAAATTGTTAACTTTTTGGCTTCTGTATGAAACTAATATAAGCCCTGTCAGCTCTCAAGAGATGTATACCAGCAGTTATCCAATACATATAAGCACATTTATGATTATAAGGGTAATACAGTTCTGCTCTGTTTAGGTGTGTGGAAGCAATGTGTGGAGCCAGTACAGAGCATCAAGTTCTTTGCCAGATGAAAAGAAGGAGTTTCTGCAAAATGGACCTGATTTTCAAGATTTTGTATCTGGGGATTTTTCTGATAAGAGCATGTGGGCTGAGTATAAAGGCAATTTAAAACGCCAGAAGGGAGAAAGGTAACTAGCTTTAAGTAATTACACTCTACTCTGAGGTAGCATCATGCTTTGTTTAGTACTTGATATCTCTTGTATTCTACTGTACACAAATACCTACATGTATCATATTTGTCAAGTTGTGTAGTACTGCAATGGCTACTTCACGCTTCATTTTGGAAGGAACGGTCATTTGAAGAGGGGAAAGTATTAGTTTCCCATATGAACTCTTTGAGCACAACATGCAGAGATAAGATAGCTAATTAGTAATTTCAGTACAGTTGATAAGAATAAATGATTTTGCATACAAGTAAAAAATTCTAATACCTAAAACACCATTGGCAATATATTTTTATTTTCAGTGTTTTTGGCCCAAAAAATAGTAGTGAATGGTTCCACTTACATAGCTCTATTTTAATTATAGCTGGGAAAAGAGTCATTTATTTGATTCATAAAATGTTACTGGAGATTCACAGAACTAAATAAATCACTTATGATTTTGGCAAGTTTGATTTTTTTTAACCTAGTCCTGACTGTGTTCATGGTACAGACAGGTTGCATCACAGTTGTTTGTGGTTTATTAACAATAATGAGCCTGTAAATTGGTAGTGCCCAGCGCCGTTCTGTAAAGGCAGTGGTAATATCTGAAAGTCTCATCCGAAAGTAATATAATCTGCCCTTGCATGTGTTTTGCCCCACTTTAATATAGTACCTGTAGAACTTGTGCAGGTCGCTGCTAATTGCTTTAGTACACTAAATGATGAGTGAAAGAATAACAGCCATCCACCTTTCATACAACCCCTTTTATTGCTATAACAATCTTGGGTTACTTTATACCATTTGGTTATAATCTGAAAAAGTGCCTATAAAAATGACATTTTTTTTGAGCTTTCTGTTTAGCGTCTCAATTATTGCCAGACCAATTCTGCCCAGTTTACAAGTTAAGAAGATGATTTTTTCTAACTTCCAGGTATACAAACGCAGTTTGAAATATTAAAAACAACCTGTATGCTTTCTGGCGCATGCATCTCCAACAATAAAGATTCTGCAATCAAACCTTTGTTCCTAATCCTGTAAAGAAAATTATGTGGGCAAAGTTTGCTTTCATTTACACCCATGAAACTCCATGAAGACCAGGGAAGTTACACCAGTGTAACAAAAGGCAGAATATGTCCCATTCTATGGCACTGACCAAAAGTTTTTAGCTATCCACACTGTACTGGTTGTGTACTTTGAAAAATGCACTTTAAACAGTATTCTAGATGAACAGTAGTAGCCTTGATTCCTCTGGTGAAATAGCCACCAATATATCTGGAAGGTATTGGAGTGCTTGTGCCATGAACAGTAACAAATTATAAATGTGTGTCAGTGGGACAATATGCCCAATTTGTGTTTTTGATAAATTGTTGGGGTTTTTTTGTTTTGTATGTAGATAGATTCATGAAGACTAAATTCAAAAGCTGTGAAAAACAAAATGAGGCCTTCGAAATTTGCTAGGAGTTTGTAGTAGCTATGTAATTATATTGCCAATGTCTGAATTACCATATATAGCGTGGCAGTAAGGTTAGTGATCTTAAACCCTATAATTGTGGATACTTGCATCTTAGCTTGGTGGCAGGCTAATAAATGAGGATGGAAATGAGAAGTTATGGTACTTTTTTGAAATATATTAATGCTCATTTATTACTCATGACCAGCTTCAAGGAATCTTTCATACCCAGAGGCTGTAACAAAGTAAAGTAGATCTATGAAGTTAAGTGATTACATGTAAGTAATTTATTAATCCTTATATTTGCTTGATATTATTCAGGCTGCGACTTCCTCCATGGCTAAAAACTGAGATTCCCATAGGAAAGAACTATAATAAACTGAAGAGTACACTGCGAAGTTTAAAGCTTCACACTGTAAGTCTAATGCCTGACACATTTTCTTCTAGGAAGAAAGCAATGTTTTCATGATGTGAAATTCACCCCTTTGCTCAGGAGCAGCAGAGAGCCTATGCATCACTTATGCCTTTGTGGCTTCAGTGGGGACATATGATGCATAGGCCTTGTCCTCTGCTTTTGCACAGGGGTGAATTTCACCCACGGAGAACAAGGGAAGAAACAAACAGCAGAAAATTTGACATTTTCCCTGCAATGATCTTAAATATGGTGTTGTGTTTCTCAAGTCCTCTAAAGTCAAAAGATTATCAGTGTGTCTAATTTAGGTGGAAACATTTGTATAATTTTTGGGACGGTATATAAATAATTCACATGAAAAGAAATTCAAGAAATGTTTGTGTTCTCTATTAAATATGCCCCCCATTGATGGAAAGAGACAGAAGATTTAAGACAAGTATGAAATTCTTTTCTTCAGAAAAAGATTGTTCTGTAATCTGTAATTCACAGATCTTGTGAATTTTTTATAAACTTTTTTATTACATCTAAAAGGTGCATAACTAATGCAGTTTAGAATGTGCAATTCTGACCATTATTTTGATGAGCAGTTTTCAGGAAGTTGTGTAGTTCAGAGGAAGAATGGTGTTGGGGTTAAGACACAAGATTGGGTGTCACGTGACACATGTTCTCTTCCCAGCTCTGCCATTAACTGGGGCAACTCACTTAACCTGTCTGTGATTTAATTTCCTCCTCATAATTTCAGTACCTGTCTCAGAAGAGAGAACAAATTCCTTTGGCGGAAGGTGCTATAGAAATACAATTTATTATTATTAATGTCATTTTATTTATAGGTGTGTGAGGAAGCGCGTTGTCCCAACATTGGAGAGTGTTGGGGAGGGGGTGAGTATGCTACTGCTACAGCAACTATCATGGTAAGTCAATAACCACAATCTTACAATAGGAAATATATTCTGTTGGTAGCAAATTTGGGTATACAAAAATCTCCAGCGTAAAAGTGACCCAGGTATATTATGCTAAAGTGCACAACAAATCTCTCTCTCCTATGGTTTTTGACAATTGAGTCTTTTGAAGTAGCATATTCAGTGGTTTCTTGGCTGAACAATACAAAGTTTAAAATATAAAGTAAACATAATCTTTTCTTATTTCAGTTGATGGGTGACACATGTACAAGAGGTTGCAGATTTTGTTCCGTAAAGACAGCAAAAAATCCACCTCCATTGGATCTTAATGAACCCCACAATACAGCAAAAGCTATAGCTGAATGGGGCTTGGATTATGTTGTATTGACATCTGTAGACCGAGATGGTTAGTATGTTGTCAGTAGTATCTTCCAGTGTAAGCTCCCATACACACTATGCAGCAGTTTTAGAGTCCTCAGTCAGTTTGGGTTATTAGAGTTATAGGGTTTAAACTTTTATGAGATTGATGAAAGGACTGAATGACACAGAAACTTTTCAGAGATTACGAAATGCTCTTCCTGACTAATCCTTAGTCCCCTACTCCTGATGCAGGCAAAATTCACATAGAAGATATACGATTATGTAGTTGGTTAAATGTTGGTTCCTTATGGAACTGATTCAGTCTATTTGAGTAGAGCCTAATTTAAAAAAAAAAATATTGCTACCTTTCCACTAAGGTTGTAATGGTTCTTTTGTGCTGTTGCTATCTTGGTGGAAAGACTGTCTCAGAAAAAGAGTGTCTTGTATTCCACTGAAAGACCAATAGTTTCTAACAGTGGCTTTCAATAAAAGAGCGGGAACAATTTCTTTTTGTGTATATTTCTCTTTTCTTAAACTACCTCTGTGGAAGAAAAAAGAAATTAAACCATACAGATCTGTGCTAAGATTAAAGGGGCTAAGGTAAACTCATACATATTCAAGAAAATTTAGAATGAAAGTTCCAACTCTGTTCTAACTAACCATACTTAGCCTGGCTATTGTAAGGGTATGGTAGAACACCTATTGTACAATTTAGGCATGAGCAGTAAGTTAAGGATGGAATCTCAGCTTTAATTTAGCATCGCTTTACATTTTTGTGGTTAGATTAGACTCTTAACATCAAAGCCACACAGAATTACACAAAAATATTATTTTTAATGTAAAAATACCAAATTATTGCATTGTTTCTAGATATTCTAGATGGTGGAGCAGAACACTTTGCAAAAACTGTATCACATTTGAAGGAAAGGTACATTATTAATTTATTACTATTAATTATTATTCAGCATTTATGTTGCGGTAGTGCCTACAGGCCAAAAGCAGACAGGGCTCTATGGTGCTATTTGCTATACAAATATGTAATACATGGCAGTCCCTACCCCAGAGAGCTTACATGTCCACTCCTGGATTTTTCATCCTCACTTGTGTTACACTTACAAGTTAGATTAAATATATAGGCAGGAATGTTCTCCTGCTGAATTTCTGTTTATCCCAGATTCCTTTTAAAATTAAGCACTAAACTGTTTCTTTGGACCACATATTTAGAGCAATGGGTCATATCTATCTATTTTTTTGTGGATGTTTATATTTTAATGATAGGGTTGTAGCACAGTAATAATGGGTTTGGGAAAAGATAAAAACTGTTGTAACTGGGTTCCAAAGATAATCTGATTTATTTTTCAGCTCTGACCTCTAAGCTTTGCCATTTTTTCCAAGGAGGTGCTCTCTGTGACCCTGATTCCACCTTTATACTTTCCCATTGACACCTTCTACTTTCCACTTTATGCATTGTGCCAGCATGTCATTTTGGTAGCATGTTTGGGTCTTTGTTAGAAGGTTGTAGATTTAATTCCTGCAGCCTGATTTGGGCATTTGCCTAATACTTACCCTGTAATGAGGACTAGAGGGGCTCACTTCAAAGTCTATCACCAGTACTTCGTTGATTACCTGGAAGGGTTTCTGTATACCAGTGGTTCTCAACCTATTTACCACTATGGGCCATGTATGCAGCTCTCTGTTTTGTGGACTGCATCCACACAATATATATACTACCTGTACAGCCCTGAGGATGTCATATAGGCCTCAGCTGTGTGCTGATTGGGCTGCAGGTTGAGAACCACTGCTGTATAGTGATGCAAAGTACTTCTCCATCCAGCTTGGGGGAACCAAATTCAAGCTATCGGGGAACTGAATTAAATTCCTAAATAGCAATGCAAAGTATTTACAGTCCATTCGGTCAGATGTCCCCTCTGTCATTCAGAAGTTCAGATGTTCAAATCTTATTAAAAATCTTGCTAAGTGTAGTATGGAGCGAAAATGAAAGTCAGATGTAACCTGCACTTAATTTGAGCAAGTCTGGTGACTCAGTAGATCATAGAAATGGCTCTGATGTTATGTTTGACTTATGTAACATTCATTTTATTTTGTGCACTAGTCAAAGCAGGAGTTGCACCTATACTATGTTTTGAGTAAAAATTAACTCTCAAGTATTTTCAGTACTTCACTGTTGTAGATGTTTACCTAACTTAACTTTACTTTGTAGATTTAAATATCAACATCATCGATTTAGGGTTGTTTTAAAAAATACTGAATTTTGATTTAGTTTAAAATATTCTGGTATTTTAGTATCATGTTATTGAAATATTTGATTTGAGCATCAATAATAAAAATACCACAAGCGTGTTCATTTTTCAATCTTTTTTTTTCAGGAATTCAAAAATTCTAGTAGAATGTTTAACCCCTGATTTTCGAGGGGACCTTAAAGCTGTGGCGAAAGTTGCCTTGTCAGGACTAGACGTATACGCCCATAATGTGGAAACTGTTCCAGAGTTACAGAGGTGATTAAAGGTGATCTGTTTATATAAACAAATAGTCGGATGCATACAATTAGAGGGTATTCTGTAATGTTCTTATGAAAGCAATATTTAGATCAACCAACATTAAACCTTCTCTAGGTCCCTTTAACTCGACTCATTGTTTGTACATACATCATTTACACTTATAAATAGTAAAAATCCTCTATACCTTATAATCAAATAGCATCTAAAGTTAAAAATTAAAAAGTAGACAATACAGTTCTATCTACCATAAATTTTGAAGTAAATTTTCCAATGAGAAGCTTGTCTTATAAAATAAACAGGAAAGGAAAAATACTGATTCTAACAGAGGTCAGGCTAGATCTATTTTGTAAGAAAGATACATGTGATTACATTAAAACAAAATTCGTTCTTTTCATTTTAATACGTGCATTGGACCTCTTTTTGGAGGGAGAGAAAATTTACTTGGTAAGCCAATACCTGTACATTTTTTTAGCATGTATTCAAACTTACCTGACTGCATAATTGGAGCATCCATGGAATCAGTGCCTACGACTATGGAATATGTTTTCAAAATGAGGATGTATTTATCACACTTTGGCAACTAGCCCACAGCATTTCTCCATCATCATTATGTCTCAGTGCCACCAGTGGGAGCCAAATCCTTTTGTCTTCATAGTAAAGTAGCCCACGAAAGCTTATGCGCTAATAAATTTGTTAATCTCTAAGGTGCCACAAGTACTCCTGTTCTTTTTGCGGATACAGACTAACACGGCTGCTACTCTGAAACACTTCCCAGTGAAACTTCCAGAATCCTCTGCTTTCTTCCCTCAATAGCCACAAGTGTTGTACATGATTTCGACCAGCAGAGGGCTACCTATCTTGTAAAGAAGCAGATTAAAAATTTTATAGACCTTAAAAAGTGGAGTCAGCCAACTCTTTTTCTTTGAGTGTCTGATGTTTTTCTACCACACAGGAGGGTCTCCAAGTGCAACTCCATACCCCCAGCCATTGGCCTTTTTTCCTAATAACTTGGAAATTCAGAGTGACATCATCACACTCTGAAGTCTCCAGCTAAACTGTCTAAATTCAGCTTAAATATGGGTGGGCCATATCCACGCTGCTGGTCAAACTGTGGAAACTGAATTAGCCCAAACCAGTTTTAATGTATGTTTAAACTTCCCAGTTTTAATGTACACTAGAACTTCCCAGCATAGACTGTTCTTAAGTGGCTCCAACTAAATTCTCATGTAGACTTCAAATACAACTCTGTCAGGGCTGTTCCCCAACACAAGCAAAACAGTTTCATCTTTACTATTGTTGATTTCTTTGCATTATGGTAGAGCATGGAGGCCCTACAAACATCAGGGCCTCAGTACTAGAACCTGTACAAACACTTGATAAAAGAACGTCCTTGCTCTAAAGACCTTACAATCTAAATAGACAGCGGGGTTCTGCACAGAACAGCTTGCAAGACTGGAGCCTAAGTAGATACTTATATGCGCCCTACCACGGTAGTATCTCCAGCGCCTTTGTTACTCCTTGGGCCAGATTCCCTCATGTACCAAGATATACTCAGCACAGGAAAGAGTGAGTGCAGGGAGGGCCACTGTCAGAGACCCAGTTACCAGCTCCCTGATTCTCAGGTTGTCCCAGCCCTAGGGACCATATGCCCACTCAGAATTTTCATAGGGCATTGGAGCTCTCCTCTGCCCCCTCCTTAGCCCTCTGTGCCCTATTATGCCTCTTCCCTTTCCTGACACTTCCCCTACAGTGGAAATGGGGGCAGGGGAAGATGGGGAATGGCATTAATGATAGCTCTGTCAACTTTACTCCAGTTCCATTAGGCAAATTCTCAACTTGTCAGCTGTGAACCAATTATATTCCCGTTGCACTACTGGGGGATGGAACTGGGGTTGACAATCTGGCCCCTAGTGGTTAGCTGGAGACTATTTTCTGCAAAGCTGGGCTCTCAGAGCAGCAGCACTTTGGTTGCATCAATCACAAGAGAAAGTAATGGAAACATTTTTTTTTAAGTGAAAGCTTTGGTTTTGCAGGAATTGACAAATATTGTAGAAAGTTTCTAAAATCTCAGTCCCCTCAGTCTTTTTATTGTGATTTTACCAATGTCCCTTATCTCATGCATCTCTGTGTTTTTCTTCCTACGGTCAAAACAATATGAATATTTTTAAAGGAAAGTACGTGATCCTCGGGCCAATTTTAAGCAATCCTTACAAGTTTTGAAGCATGCTAAGAAGGTCCAACCTGATGTAATTTCTAAAACCTCCATTATGCTGGGATTAGGCGAGACAGATGAACAAGTATATTCAACAATGAAATGTAAGTAGCATAACTTAAGTATATATATAAGCTTTACCAAGTTGGAACATAATTGCAAGCTTGGGCATTGCAATATAACTAAAATGGACACACATGCATATAAGTTGGTCTGTTGGGAAAAATTGTTTTCTAACTTTTTTATGCAAAAAGGTTTCGTTCAATTTAAAAATTGAAACTCTGCAACAACTGTTGTTTATACTACTTTCAAATGGACAGGATTAATTTCACTATCAGATATCAGAGGGGAGCCGTGTTAGTCTGGATCTGTAAAAGCGGCAAAGAGTCCTGTGGCACCTTATAGACTAACAAAAGTATTGGAGCATAAGCTTTTGTGGGTGAATACCCACTTCGTCGGATGCATGTAGTGGAAATTTCCAGAGGCAGGTATAATATGCAAGCAAGAATCAGGCTGGGGTAACGAGGTTAGTTCAGTCAGGGAGGATGAGGCCCTCTTCTAGCAGTTGAGGTGTGAACACCAAGGGAGGAGAAACTGCTTTTGTAGTGGGCTAGCCAGTCACAGTCTTTGTTTAATCCTGAGCTGATGGTGTCAAATTTGCAAATGAACTGAAGCTCAGCAGTTTCTCTATGAAGTCTGGTCCTGAAGTTTTTTTGCTGCAGGATGGCTACCTTTAAATCTACTATTGTGTGTCCAGGGAGGTTGAAGTGTGTCCATTTATCCTTTTACGTAGGGACTGTCCAGTTTGGCTGATGTACATAGCAGAGGGGCATTGCTGGCACATGATGGCGTATATTACATTGGTGGACGTGCAGGTGAATGAACTGGTGATGGTGTGGCTGATCTGGTTAGGTCCTGTGATGGTGTCGCTGGTGTAGATATGTGGACAGAGTTGGCATCGAGGTTTGTTGAATGGATTGGTTCCTGAGTTAAAGTTACTATGGTGCGGTGTGTAGCTGCTGGTGAGAATATGCTTCAGGTTGGCGGGTTGTCTGTGGGCGAGGACTGGCCTGCCTCCCAAGGCCTGTGAAAGTGAGGGATCATTGTCCAGGATGGGTTGTAGATCACTGATGATGTGTTAGAGAGGTTTTAGCTGAGGACTGTATGTGATGACCAGTGGAGTTCTGTTGGTTTCTTTCTTGGGCTTGTCTTGCAGCAGGAGGCTTCTGGGTACACATCTGGCTCTGTTGATCTGTTTCCTTATTTTCTCATGTGGGTATCGTAGTTTTGAGAATGCGTGGGTGTTGGTCTCTGTCTGAGGGGTTGGAGCAAATGTGGTTGTACCTCAGCGCTTTGCAATAGACAATGGATCGTGTGGTGTGTCCGGGATGGAAGGTGGAGGCATGAAGGTAGGCATAGCGGTCAGTGTGTTTTCAGTATAAGGTGTTGTTAATGTGATCGTCACTTATTTGCACCGTGGTGTCTAGGAAGAGGACCTCCCAGGTAGATTGGTCCAGGCTGAGGTTGATGGTGGAGTGAAAGCTATTGAAATTGTGGTGGAATTCTTCCAGGGTTTCCTTCCAATGGATCTAGATGATGGGGCATCCAGGATTTCCAACATGCACAGGAAGAAATTGTGGAAAAACAACAAGAAAAGGAGTACTTGTGGCACCTTAGAGATTAACCAATTTATCTGAGCATAAGCTTTCGTAAGCTACAGCTCACTCACGAAAGCTTATGCTCAAATAAATTGGTTAGTCTCTAAGGTGCCACAAGTACTCCTTTTCTTTTTGCGAATACAGACTAACACGGCTGTTAGTCTGAAACCTGGAAAAACAACATCGCTTGCCTCATAACCTAAGTCGTGCAGAACGCAATGCCATCCACAGCCTCAGAAACTTCAGGACCAGACTTCATAGAGAAACTGCTGAGCTTCAGTTCATTTGCAAATTTGACACCATCAGCTCAGGATTAAACAAAGACTGTGACTGGCTAGCCCACTACAAAAGCAGTTTCTCCTCCCTTGGTGTTCACACCTCAACTGCTAGAAGAGGGCCTCATCCTCCCTGATTGAACTAACCTCGTTACCCTTAGCCTGATTCTTGCTTGCATATTTATACCTGCCTCTGGAAATTTCCACAACATGCATCCGACGAAGTGGGTATTCACCCACAAAAGCTTATGCTCCAATACGTCTGTTAGTCTATAAGGTGCCACAGGACTCTTTGCCACTTTGACTATCAGAGTGCTCCAAGGGTCTGATCCAGCTGCTACTGAAAACAATAGGCATCTTTCCATTGACTTCAGTGGGAGCTAGATCAGTCTTCATATCATTTAATGTTCATAATCATTTCAGGATCTCAAATGTATACATGCAATGGATATTTTATTTATTTCATTGTACCTTTTTTTTTTATAAGTAACAAATGATTTTTTCTTGTTTGCTGAATAATTCTCTTTTGATTTTGATGCACAGATTATTTTAATTTTTCCTCTTCCCTGAGCTGCAGTACCTTCTTATATGAACTTTTGCACTTACCTGTAATTTTTGAGAAAAATAAAGGTTAATATAATGTAAGTAGAACCCTGTTTAGGATGAAATTCATGAATTCCATATAATTCCCCCCATCTCCACCCCAGGGGCAGGCTGCAGGCCTGTCCATCTACAACTGTGCTGTGGCATTTCCATGTTATATGACATGTGAATTTACTAGGGCTGTCAATCGCAGTTAACTCACGCAATTAATTAAAAAAAATTAATCACAATTAATCACAGTTTTAATCACACTGTTAAACAATAGGTTTCAGAGTAGCAACTGTGTTAGTCTGTATTCGCAAAAAGAAAAAGGAGTACTTGTGGCACCTTAGAGACTAACAAATTTATTTGAGCATAAGTTTTCATGAGCTATGCGCAAATAAATTTGTTAGTCTCTAAGGTGCCACAAGTACTCCTTTTTCTTTTTGTTAAACATTAGAATACCAACTGAAATCTATAAAATATTTTGGAAGTTTTTCTACATTTTCATAAATGTTGATTTGAATTACAACACAGAATACAGAGTGTATATTATTTTTTATTACAAATATTTCCACTATGAAAATGATAAGGAGAAGAAATAGTATTTTTCAAGTCACCTCATACAAGTATTGTACTGCAATCTCTTTGTTGTGAAAGTGCAACTTACAAATGTAGATTTTGTTTGTTTGTTACATGACTGAACTCAAAAACAATACGGTGTAAAACTTTAGAGCCTACAAGTCCACTCCACTCAGTCCTACTTCTTGTTCAGCCAATTGCTAAGAGAAACAAGTTTGTTTACATTTATGGGAGATAATGCTGCCCTCTTTTTATTTACAATCTCACCAGAAAGTGAGAACAGGCATTTGCATGGCATTTTTGTAGCTGGCATTGCAAGGTATTTATGTGCCAAATATGATAAACATTTGTATGCCTCTTCGTGCTTCGGCCACCATTCCAGAGGACATGCTTCCATGCTGATGATGCTCGTTAAAAAAATAATGTCTAAATTAAATTTGTGACTGAACTCTTTGAGAGAGAATTGTAAGTCCCCTGTTCTGTTTTACCCACATTCTGCCATATATTTCATGTTATAACAATCTCAGATGATGACCTAGCACATGTTTGTTTTAAGAACACTTTCACTACAGATTTGACAAAACGCAAAGAAGGTACCAATGTCATTTCTAAAGATAGCTACCACACTTGACCCAAGGTTTAAGAATCTGAAGTGCCTTACAAAATCAGAGCGGAACGAGGTGTGGAGCATGTTTTCAAAAGTCATAGAATCATAGAATATCAGGGTTGGAAGGGACCTCAGGAGGTCATCTAGTCCAAACCCCTGCTCAAAGCAGGACCAAACCCCAACTAAATCATCCCAGCCAGGGCTTTGTCAAGCCTGACCTTAAAAACTTCTAAGGAAGGAGATTCCACCACCGCCCTAGGTAACGCATTCCAGTGTTTTACCACCCTCCTAGTGAAAAAGTTTTTCCTAATATCCAGCCTAAACCTCCCCCACTGGAACTTGAGACCACTACTCCTTGTTCTGTCATCTGCTACCACTGAGAACAGTCTAGATCCATCCTCTTTGGAACCCCCTTTCAGGTAGTTGAAAGCAGCTATCAAATCCCCCCTCATTCTTCTCTTCCGCAGACTAAACAATCCCAGTTCCCTCAGCCTCTCCTCATAAGTCATGTGTTCCAGCCCCCTAATCATTTTTCTGCGCTTCCAATTTCTCCACATCCTTCTTGTAGTGTGGGGCCCAAAACTGGACACAGTACTCCAGATGAGGCCTCACCAATGTCGAATAGCGGGGAACGATCACGTCCCTCGATTTGCTGGCAGTGCCCCTACTTATACATCCCAAAATGCCATTGGCCTTCTTGGCAACAAGGGCACACTGTTGACCTATATCGAGCTTCTCGTCCACTGTAACCCCTCGGTCCTTTTCTGCAGAACTGCTGCCGAGCCATTCGGTCCCTAGTCTGTAGCAGTGCATGGGATTCTTCCGTCCTAAATGCAGGACTCTGCACTTGTCCTTGTTGAACCTCCTCAGATTTCTTTTGGCCCAATCCTCTAATTTGTCTAGGGCCCTCTGTATTCTATCCCTACCCTCCAGCGTATCTACCTTTCCTCCCAGTTTAGTGTAATCTGCAAACTTGCTAAGGGTGCAATCCACACCATCCTCCAGATCGTTAATGAAGATATTGAACAAAACCGGCCCGAGGACCCACCCTTGGGGCACTCCACTTGATACTGGCTGCCAACTAGACATGGAGCCATTGATGACTACCCGTTGAGCCCAACAATCTAGCCAACTTTCTATCCACCTTATAGTCCATTCATCCAGCCCATACTTCTTTAACTTGCTGGCAAGAATACTGTGGGAGACCGTGTCAAAAGCTTTACTAAAGTCAAGGAACATTGCTTTCCCCTCATCCACAGAGCCAGTTATCTCGTCATAGAAGGCAATTAGATTAGTCAGGCATGACTTGCCCTTGGTGAATCCATGCTGACTGTTCCTGATCACTTTCCTCTCGTCTAAGTGCTTCAGAATTGATTCCTTGAGGACCTGCTCCATGATTTTTCCAGGGACGGAGGTGAGGCTGACTGGCCTGTAGTTCCCAGGATCCTCCTCCTTCTCCTTTTTTAAAGATGGACACTACATTAGCCTTTTTCCAGTTGTCCGGGACTTCCCCTGATCGCCATGAGTTTTCAAAGATAATGGCCAATGGCTCTGCAATCACATCTGCCAACTCCTTTAGCACTCTCGGATGCAGTGCATCCGGCCCCATGGACTTGTGCTCGTCCAGCTTTTCTAAATAGTCCCGAAGCACTTCTTTCTCCACAGAGGGCTGGTCACCTCCTCCCCGTGCTGTGCTGCCCAGTGCAGTAGTCTGGGAGCTGACCTTGTTTGTGAAGGCAGAGGCAAAAAAAGCATTGAGTACATTAGCTTTTTCCACATCCTCTGTCACCAGGTTGCCTCCTTCATTCAGTAAGGGGTCCACACTTTCCTTGGCTTTCTTCTTGTTGCTAACATACCTGAAGAAACCCTTCTTGTTACTCTTAACATCTCTTGCTAGCTGCAACTCCCGGTGTGATTTGGCCTTCCTGATTTCACTCCTGCATGCCCAAGCAATATTTTTATACTCTTCCCTGGTCATTTGTCCAATCTTCCACTTCTTGTAAGGTTCTTTTTTGTGTTTAAGATCAGCAAGGATTTCACTGTTAAGCCAAGCTGGTCGCCTGCCATATTTACTATTCTTTCTACACATCAGGATGGTTTGTTCCTGTAATCTAAACAAGGATTCTTTAAAATATAGCCAGCTCTCCTGGACTCGTTTCCCCCTCATGTTATTCTGCCAGGGGATCCTGCCCATCAGTTCCCTGAGGGAGTCAAAGTCTGCTTTTCTGAAGTCCAGGGTCCGTATTCTGCTGCTCTCCTTTCTTTCCTGTGTCAGGATCCTGAACTCAACCATCTCATGGTCACTGCCTCCCAGGTTCCCATCCACTTTTGCTTCCCCTACTAATTCTTCCCGGTTTGTGAGCAGCAGGTCAAGAAGAGCTCTGCCCCGAGTTGGTTCCTCCAGCACTTGCACCAGGAAATTGTCCCCTACCCTTTCCAGAAACTTCCTGGATTGTCTGTGCACCGCTGTATTGCTCTCCCAGCCGATATCAGGGTGATAGAAGTCTCCCATGAGAACCAGGGCCTGTGATCTAGTAACTTCCGTGAGTTGCCGGAAGAAAGCCTCGTCCACCTCATCCCCCTGGTCCGGTGGTCTATAGCAGACTATCACCACGACATCACCCTTGTTGCTCACACTTCTATACTTAAGTCTTAAAAGAGCAACACTCAGATGCGGAAACTACAGAACCCAAACCACCAAAAAAGAAAATGAACCTTCTGCTGGTGGCATCTGACGCAGATGATGAAAATGAACATGCGTCGGTCCGCACTGCTTTGGATTGTTGTCGAGCAGAACCCATCATCAACTTGGACGCATGTCCTCTGGAATGGTGGTTGAAGTATGAAGGGACATATGAATCTTTAGCCTCTCTGGCATGTAAATATCTTGCAACACTGGCTAAAACAGTGCCATGAGTATGTCTGTTCTCACTTTCAGGTGACATTGTAAACAAGAAAAGGGCAGCATTATCTCCTGGAAATGTAAACAAACTTGTTTGCTTGAGTGATTGGCTAAACAAGAAGTAGAACTGAGTGGACTTGGAGGCTCTAAAATTTTATAATGTTTTATTTTTGAAGGCAGGATTTTTTGTACATAATTCTACATTTGTAAGTTCAATTTTCATGATAAAGAGATTGCACTACAGTACTTGTGTTAGGTGAATTGAAAAATACTATTTCTTTGTTGTTTTTCAGTGCAAAAAAAAAGTAATCAAAAATAAATGTAAAGTGAGCACTGTACAATTTCAGAGTAGCAGCCATGTTAGTCTGTATTCGCAAAAAGAAAAGGAGTACTTGTGGCACCTTAGAGACTAACAAATTTATTTAACCATAAGCTTTCATGAGCTATAGCTCACTTCATCGAATGCATTCTTTTCACTGTACAATTTGTATTCTGTGTTGTAATATATTTGAAAATGTAGAAGCCATCCCAAAATATTTAAATAAATGGTATTCTATTCTTGTTTAACAGTACGATTAATCACATGATTAATTTTTTTAATCACGCGATTAATCACAATTAATTTTTTTATTCCCTTGACAGCCCTAGAATTTACCAGTAGTTAAGTAGTTTCTTCACAGAACCATTTTATTCTAAGCAGATGTTCGTGCTAACTGTAATTGCAGTGTTGAAACATTGAAACAATTCATGCTTTTCGTTCTGCTTCACTATGGGGCAAATCCAGCACCCAACCCTAATACCAAGGATAGACATTGAGAAGGGGAGTGGAGGAGGAGCTATATATAACCTGATTCCTCAATCTTCCCATGGATCAGAAGACTACACTAGTTGCACTGAACAGCATCTTTCAGCAGCTGGGGAGGAGGAGGCTGGATTTGTCCTTAATGACAGAGTTTCACTGAATCCAAGTTTGGTATAAATTAGTTCCATCCTGTATTGATATCTTAGCAGAGAAGGTGTATGTGCTTCCTGAGGCATCAAAACTAGCGTATCCCACCAAGGATGTGGAGCTGGTGGAAGAAATTGGCAATTCCCCTTAGATTTATTCTTTATGTATGCATAATTTCAGCATCAACCCTCTTGTAACTGTGGAGTAAGATGAAGTATTTTCTTTTTATGTGTAGTTGGTGTTTCAGACTGTGTCAGATTAAGAGTCTGACCTAGGTATGCTAATAATCATCATCATTTTCACCCAAAAGGAAGTAAATAATGAATGCACCTAGAAAATGAAAGCTCAAAAATTGAGAAATATGGACATTAAAGGTAAACTGCAGTATGCTAGAAAAGAGATTCTCATCCCTGCATTTAATTACGGGGTATTATTAATGGAGTGAAAAGGTACTTTTAGAAATAAATAAAAAGATACAATTCAGGCTTCAAAAGCTGACAGTCTAAATAGGTAATATGTAGACAAGTGATAGGGTATTGGATACAACCAGAAGCAAATGTTTGCTGGTGATACTTAGCATAGGTCAATTACTTTAAAAAAAAATCACTATTTTAATACTTCTGAGGAGAGGAATCAGGTTTATAGACCTCATGCAAGAAGTGAGTTTTTAGGAAGGCATCGAGGCATGAGATACTGGAGGAACGATGGACCAAGCTAGGGAGAAGTAAAATAAATCACTTTAAAAAAAAATAAAATATTTTAAATACTATACAGAATTTTTAAAAAATCAAATAAAAAGCTGCATCTTCACAGTTCAGTGTGGGCAGAAGCTCCCCAGTGGAAACTGTGGGGACGGCAAGAGACTATCAGATTTGCTGTAGATTGTACTTCAACAAAATGTCAAAATTAACCTAGTCTAATGAAGTATCAGGAAAAAATGTCAGATCCCGCTGGGAGACACACACACCAGCCACATTCACTCTTAAGTAGACAATAAGACAGTGAAAGGACTTGCTAAAACTGTTTGAAATCAGTTTTTAATATATTTATTTTTATTTACTAAGTATCTTGTTGTTCTAAAGTATTTATACCTAAATTCTGCAGTTTCTCTTTAGCGCTTCCGTCATGCCCTCTGATGCTGTGTATTGGAGGGTAGAATTTAATCCCTTATTTAATGAGCTAAGGAGTGACTTGCACTCAGAACTGCATTTTAGGTAAGATGATTTTTAGTCAGTGATGATACATCATGATTCTGTCACCTGCTAAGGAGGCACTTTTCTTTTTTATAGTATTACGTGAGGCAGATGTGGACTGTTTGACCTTAGGACAATACATGCAACCAACAAAACGTCATCTAAAGGTACAAATGCCTTGAATTTACTGGAAGCAGACTATGACCTGCACCTGATACCATTGTACCCCTTCCCTTGTCAGAATGATGTCTCGTGCCCACCTACACACCTTCTCACTTTATGCCAACTATGGATGTTTGAAGAGGACTCCCCTCAGATTGGGTAGCCATTCTTGCTCCTCCCAACCTGCCTTTTCTCAACAGTTAATCTGCTCTTCAGTGTGGGGCTGTTATGGGCTCGATGTTAGAAATTCTTGCCTGATGAATATTGTGAAATGTATAAACTCTAAAGTAATTAAGAGTTTAATCTTGCCACATCCTGTCTGAACGTAGAGTTGGCATTCCAGTTCATTAACATTAATTATGCATTTAAAAGTTATTACAGTCTGAGCAGAATTATTTTTTTCCCTCCAGGTTGAGGAATATGTTACTCCTGACAAGTTTAAACACTGGGAAAAAGTGGGAAATGAGCTTGGATTTCATTACACAGCTAGTGGTCCTCTAGTGCGCTCCTCTTACAAAGCAGGTAAAGTACTGCACAATGTTAAATTATTATGTAAAGGTATAGCTGTAAAGTAATTGATATCAAAAGCTCACAATAGTGGTTCTTTGTTTTTCTATACAGCAAATGTATTGTCTTTTATAATTCCTCTAAATGGGTTGCTATTACTTGAACAGTTACGATGCTGCTTATACTCACATTTTATAAAACTAATATTATTTAGCATTACACTTACTGCTCCAGGTATGGATTTATTTAAAATATTGTGTATAATTTGCAACTTTTGCCATTAGCTTCCGAGCGAAGTGGGCTTTAAAACTGCCCCCTCTCATCTGTTGTGTCTTTTGATAGGGCTTCAGAAATAAGCCATTTTAATAACTGATTTTTCTTTTAGAAAGTTCAGTGTACTAAATTACACCTGAACTAACATGTAGGCCCATATTCTCTTGCTGTGCGTGGGCAGGAGAAAAGAGCCAGTTGTGGTTCTATGCCAGCTCCAGCATAATATAGAGCACCTTTCAAGTACTGACACCTCACAACACTGTGTAAAATAGAGATAATTCCATTTTATTATTGGATATGCTGAGACACAGGATGTTAAATAACTTTCACACAACCAAGCACGAGCAGAGTTGGGGAAGACAACCCAGGAGTCCTGATTTCCAGCCTCAGGCTGTAATTGTTAGAATTCCTATTGGGTAGGTTTGGATTTTCTAGATCATTGTCCACAGTGTTGGCTACATGTATACTGCTTTATTTGTTCTGTTTAATCTCCAAAGCAACTAAAACTGATTTATATAATTAATTTTCATTTTAATTAGGTGAATTTTTCTTGAGGAATTTAGTAGAGAAAAGGAAGACAAAGGTCATCTGAAGGTGGAAGTGGACCCACTTTAAGTCACCTACAGCTTTAAAGATTCACTTTTTCGTAAGTTCAATTAATTCCAAAAATATAGCAGCCCACACCATGGAATGATGAATGAACTTAATATTTCTAGAACACTGCTCTCTTGACAAATTAATTGACATTAATTCACCTTGACATTAATTCACCTTGTTGTTCTTAGTTTCCATAAAATTACAGTTACATGGTACTTTAGTGTTCAGTGAATCATCAAAAGCCTCAGCTTTAGAATGTATCAAAACAGAGACTCTGGTTTGGTGAGCAGGGGAATTATGAGGAAAAAATAAAGAGAAATGACATATATATGTAAACAAAAATGGATGGATTGTGAAATCTGGTGTAGTATATTAAATGCTGAAATAAAGAAAAAAAATCTTTCCACCTGCTGCAGTGTCAGTTGTGACTTTTTTCTTCTCCAAGGAGTGCCACCTCTACATTTTTTATTTATTTACTGGGGACTAATACTTGTTAGTTTGAAATGTGTGGAATCTTGCTAAGATGTTGGAATTTTTATATTAGCACTTCACATCCTGTCCTTTTCTCCTCCTCCTCACTCATTTTCACTTTCCACCAAACCCATGAGAGAAGAGTGGACCTGTCTAAAATTATACTTCTAAGGGAATTCTGTGCCAAAAAAAAATGAAAAATTCTGCACACCATATTTTAAAACTGTGAAATTCTGCAAATTTTATTGATCAATAAATAAATGTGGAGGCTCCAGCACTGAAGAGGGGAGCACAGGCTACTGACTGCACAGAGGTGGGAGATCACCTCCAGCCCCTGCCCTAGGACATGGACTTGGCCACGAGGCTGCACCCTACCCTGACACAGTGCAAGGGCCAGACCTGCCCCAGAAACACCCTGGGGCCCTGCCTCTCCATGCCAAGCACACTAGATGTAGACAAGCAGGCTCAGCCCAGCAGGATCCAAGTGTGGAGGGGCTTAGTGTGGGGAGATCCAGGTGTGGGGTGATAGGGTTCTGTGGGGGTCAATCTGGGTGCAGACAGCTTGGTGGGGGGGTGGTCTGGGTTTGGGGGGATCTGGATGAACAAGACTCACGTGGGGTGGTTCTGGGTGCAGAAGCAATGGAACGCTGCAGGAGGGGTCCAGGTGAAGGTGGTTGGGGCTCAGTGGGGGGGTCTGGGTATGAAGGGCTCAATGGAGGGGGTTGTCTGGGGTGCTGGCTTGATGGGGCTCAGGGGGATGAGGGTCTAGGTGTGGGGACCTAGTCAGGGTGATCCAGGTGCATGTGGGTAGGGCCTATTGGGGGGGGGGTGTTAAAGTGCGGGGGGGCAGTCTAGGTGCAGGGGTGGGGTCTAGATGTAAGGAGGAGGGGCTTGGCCAGTGTGTCTGGGTGCAGAGGGGCTCCAGATGCAGAGGCTGAGGCTTGTTGGGCTGTGGGTTTGGGGTTAGGGGGCTCAGTGTGTGAGGGTTCTGGGTATGAGGTGGGTCTGGATGCACAGGGGTTGGGCAGATGGGGGAGCAGCTCCCTGTACAGTGACCCCTCCCCCCACGGCTGAGGAGTGATGGGGGCAGGAAGGAGGGGGTGTGTGGAGCTTCCTGCAGCCAGGGGGGTTTCTGGGGGTGGGTCTGACCCTGCCCTGGATGCTCCTTGCAGGGGAAGAGGAAGTCCCATCCTCCCCAGCCCTGCCAGGAATAGCAGCTAAGCCTGGCACAGGATAGGAGCCACTGGCTGGGGTGTCCCCAGCCCCTCCCCCCCACTGATTTACCTCTCCGCTGGCAGCTCCAGATGCCCAAAACAATGCACCCATGCTGCTGGGCAGCAGTGTATGACCGTTTTTGCAGCTTCCCTTTGCTTCCCTATCAGAAAGTCATTTTTCTGCAGAGAAGCAAAGAAATCTGTAGCAGACATGAATTCTGTGCACACGCAGTGGCACAGAATTCCCCCAGTAGTAAAAATTAGTAATGGTTAGGTCCCCACTTCTCAGCTAATTAGTATAGAAGGTTGCATGTTTTTATATGAGAACGTCATAACTTTTCTGTTCCATGGCCTTCCCTGCGTGATCTGTCCTTGATTTATTGCATTAGATGGTGTGGTGTTAAGTTAGTAGGATTTAAAAACTGATCATCCAAGAAATGAAGTGATTTTCATTAGTAGGCAATAAAATGCAACAACTAAAGATTCCTATCTTTTTCAGAGTTAGTTATGCGTTTTTAATCTGCATGAAAATTCATTGCTGTAGCTTTTGGCTAATTGTTACAAGAGGTGTGTTCACTCAAACGATAGTATTTGATATAAACACCAGAAATATAAAAAGGACTTAGCTATAAGGCTATCATCCAGCTGTGAAAAAAGGGACATTACAGAATAACTATTCAACTGTTTCCACTCCACATAGTCTGAGAAATGATGATGCTGGAAAGTGTTTTCAATGTTATTTCATGTTTAAAGTATTTTATGAAATCACTGGTGGGTGGTTCTGAAGGTTTAAAATATCTGTTTTTCATGCTCTCACTCAACCGTTTCTGATACACATCTTTTATAACTTGAATCTCTACCATGAACTCTGCTAATACATTGTTTGTAACAAAGTTTACTCAGGCCTGCTTCTTAAATGGAGAGGCTTTGTACTTCAGAATTTCTTCAGCCACTCCACTTTAGGAAAAGCCTCCCCTCCGTACTTGTTCAGGTTTTCTGTATATACACCAGAATATAAAGGCATCATACACATTTCACTTGAGGTCAATAAACTGGGACTCTTGTTTTGTTAGCTATACAGTACAGGCAAGTTTAATATAACTCTATACATCAATAACAGTGGTTCATTGACTGCAACAGAATTACTCTGGCATAACAGATCAGAATCTATAACTTATACCTCACTTAAAGAGCGCTCACATTTAACAGGCTCAAAAACCACTATACCACAATTTCAAGAGGTCTTCCATATGGTTAAATGTTTTCAACCTTTCTTAAATTTTGATTCTGTACCAGTTTTCTGTGTACCATTAAAATCCTAGCCTGAAGGCTAACAGGCTTGTTAGATTCAGAGGGTCAGAATTTCCTCTCACTTACAAAAACAACAAGGAGTCCGGTGGCACTTTAAAGACTAACAGATTTGTTTTGGCATAAGTTTTTGTGGGTAAAAAAACCCACTTCTTCATATGCATGAAGTGAAAATTACAGATGCAGGCATTATTATACTGACACACAAACAGAAGGGAGTTACCACACAAGTGGAGAACCAGTGTTGACAGGGCCAATTCAGTCAGGGTGGATGTAGTCTACTCCCAATAATTGATGAAGAAGTGTCAAGTCCAGGAGAGGGAAAGTTGCTTTTGTAGTGATCCAGCCGCTTCCAGTCCCTATTCAAGCCCAAATTAATGGTGTTAAATTTGCAAATGAATTTTAGTTCTGTAGTTTCTTTGAAGTCTGTTTCTGAAGTTTTATGTTCAAGTATGGCTACTTTTAAATCTGTTATAGTCCAGGAAGACTGAAGTGTTCTCTTACTGGCTTTTGTATGTTACCATTCCTGATGTCTGATTTGTGTCCATTTATTCTTTTACGTAGAGACTGTCCAGTTTGGCCAATGTACATGGCAGAAGGGCATTACTGGCACATGATGGCATACATCACATTAGTAGATGTGCAGGTAAATGCGTCCCTGATGGTGTGGTTGATGTGGCTGGGTCCTCTCTGATGGTGTCGCTAGAATAGATATGGGAACAGAGTAGGCAACGAGGTTTGTTGCAGGGATTGGTTCCTGGGTTAGTGTTTCTGTGGTGTGGTGTGTTGCTGGTGAGTATTTGCTTCAGGTTGGGGGGGCTATCTGTAAGCGAGGACTGGCCTGCCTCCTAAGGTCTGTGAGAGTAAGGGATTGTTTTCCTGGATAGGTTGTCGATCGTTGATGATGTGCTGGGGAGGTTTTAGCTGGGGGCTGTATGTGATGGCCAGTGGTGTTCTGTTATTTTCCTTGTTGGGCCTGTCCTGTAGTAGGTGACTTCTGGGTACCTGTCTCGCTCTGTCAGTCTGTTTCCTCAGTTCCCCAGGTGGGCATTGTAGTTTTAAGAATTCTTGATAAAGATCTTGTAGATGTTTGTCTCTGTCTGAGGGATTGGAGCAAATTTGGTTGTATCTTAGGGCTTGGCTGTAAACAATGGATCGTGTGATGTGTCCTGGTGGGAAGCTGGAGGCATCTAGGTAAGTATAGCAGTCAGTAGGTTTCTGGTATAGGGTGGTGTTTATGTGACAATCACTTATTTGCACTGTACTGTCCAGGAAGTGAATCTCTTGTGTGGCGTGGTCCAGGCTGAAATTGATGGTGGGGTGGAAATTGTTGAAATCCAGGTGGAATTCTTCAAGGGCAACTCTCCACCACCACATTCTACAGGCCACTATCCTCTGATCCCACTGAGGAGTACCAAAAGAAACTACACCATCTGCTCAAGAAACTCCCTGCTATAGCACAGGAACAAATCTATACAGACACACCCCCAGAGCTCTGACCAGGGCTATTCTATCTGCTACCTAAGATCCATAAACCTGGAAACCCTGGGCACCCCATCATCTCAGGTATTGGGACTCTTACAGCAGGATTATCTGGCTATTTGGACTCTCTCCTCACACCCTACGCTACCAGCACTCCTAGCTATCTTCGAGACACCACTGACTTCCTGAGGAAACTACAATGCATTGGTGATCTTCCTGAAAACACCATCTTGGCCACCATGGATGTAGAAGCTCTTCACACCAATGTTCCATGAGGATGGACTACAAGCTGTCAAGAACAGTATGATGAGGCCACAGACCACTTGGTGGCTGAGCTTTGTGCCTTTGTCCTCATCCACAACCATTTCAGATTTGGGGACAACTTATACCTTCAAGCCAGTGGCACTGCTATGCATACCTGCATGGCCCCACAGTATGCCAACATTTTTATGGCTGACTTAGAATAATGCTTCCTCAGCTCTTGTCCCCTAGTGCCCCTCCTCTAGTTGCACTACACTGATGACATCTTCATCATCTGGACCCACAGGAAGGAGGCCCTTGAGTCGCAAGATGAGATCCCAGTTAAGCTGATACACCCTGGAAATGACATTGGACGTTGGACTATAACCTATGAACTAAATTCAAAAGGAACTCTTTGCAACTATAAAGTACACTATCTCTGCTATGTATCTGAACCTCAAGAATTAAACTCCTGTCTGTATGTATATTGATCTTTTAACCATACTCTCTTCCTTTTCTTTTTAAATAAATTTTAGTTTGGTTAATAAGAATTGGATGTCACGTGTATTTGGGTAAGGTCTGGTATATTCATTAACCTGGGAAGTAATGTGTGTGATCCTTTGGGATTGGTAGAACCTTTTCTTTTATATGATGAAATAAGATTTTCAGAAATCATCATATTTGACTCGACTACCTGGATGGAGACCTGAGGTTGAGTTACTTTAAGGGAACTGTGTATTGGTTATTGGGCAACCAGTGAAGCTAGCATAAAGAAGCTGCTTTATGCTGGCTTGGTAAATTTAAGTATTGAAAATATCCACCAGCTTTGGGCATTTGTGCCTCATTCTTTGCAGTTCACCCTAATTGAGTGACAACAGCTGGCCCCCACTGGGACCCTGGTCACAACTGGCTATGCACTATGCTTAAATTTTGTTGTTTTCAGTGAGTTTGTCAATCAAGATGTTTTCAAAATTGTAAAAGGCACTTGTATTCAGTCTTTTAAGAACTCATCCAGGGGAACCGTGGGGTGAGGGCGGGGGAATTAATGGATTTTTGTCATCACTGCCAGAAGCCAGAAATTTTGCTGAATATTTTTTAAAAAGCCATCGTTGGACCAAGTCTGAGTAGTTTCAGCCCAAACAGAAAAAATAAGAGTTATGAAAAGGATGAAAACAAGATTTCAGAAAAAAAATGGCCCTTTCAATTTTTAAAACTGTTTCTAAAATATCTTAAAAGCACTGTGAGATTGTAAGCTCTTTGGGCAGAGACTGTCCCTTGCTTGTACGTACAAAATCTGGTCTGTTGTGATAAATGAGTCAACAAATTTACCCAAATTGTGACCTCAACTATACAATGCATATAAAAGTTCATAAGATGTTAGAATAATCTATAACAGCAAATGTTGAAGAGAAAAACTACAAAAGGGAGAAATAATAACTAAATTAGTTTAAACAAAAAGGCCAGGTTGATATGATTCCCAGACTGTGCTGAAATTATGCTTATTAAAAAACAGGAGACATGGAACCCAAAGTAAATGACTTAAAATTGATATTTTGGATATTAGACCTAATTGTGGACAAAATAATGAGGGGATGGGCTATTCCATTCATCACTCCTTTTGTGGGTTCCTAAAAAAGATTTTTGTGGGAAATGTAGGAAAGAACAGACTACTGGAGCAAGCTTTATCATCATGGCTGCCATCCCCACCACTTCCTTGGACCCTGGAGTTTGTCAGCCTGATCCCGAAAGATGTCCTGTACAGCAGGGGCGTAGCCACGGGTGGGCCTGAGTTGATTTATCATCCAGGCCCACCACCCCAGTCCCAACTCTGCTCCTGCCCCCGCGCTTGCCCCCTCCACCTGTCTGGCCCTCCAGCTAGGGAGTAGGGTTGGAGCACGGGGGCTTGCAAGCCCCCACTTCCCAGCAGAAGTGCTGTGCAGGTGCAATAGGGCAAGCCCCTGACCCTGCTCCCCAGCGGGAGTGCTGGGCAGAGCAGGGCAAGCCCTAAGCACTGTGGGAGTGGGGGCACACATTTTTACAGGGTCCCCAGTTTTTCCAGGGGCCCTAGCCAGAGTGTCTTTCAGCCCCCGCCCCCAGGGGCTGGAGGGTGGGGAGAGGTGGCCCTGATCACTCCTACCCTCATCCTCCTGTCATTGCCCACCCACCCTAAGTTTGGGCCCTCCTCTTTGTCCCATCCTGGCTACGCTCCTGCTGTATAGACTGGGCCAGAGAGAGAGTGAGGATCCAGATGACATCGCCACTCATACCGGCTCCAGCTGAATCCCAACCACCATGTGAGAGAAAACAGGATTGGACAAAAGCAGCAACTCCAGCCTTTCACAATTAACATCTGTTTTCCCCAAAAGAACAGTTATTATCATTATCTAACAGTGTCAAATAAGGGTTTTTTCCCTTCTAAAAACTCCACAGCTAAAGGGAAAGGGAAGAAAGAATGTTGTTAAAATGAAAGCCTTTATTCTTAACAGTTATAGTGTGTGAAAGATTTTTTCCTTCTTTTCTGTATCTTTAATAAAAAAAATAATGGATTTTTAATAGTGTATTTGCCATGGTAGTAAGCAGGCTGAGGTATCTGTATACCAAACTCTGAACTTTTTGTAACACTGTTTCATGTTGTACAGTGACCAAGTTATATTAACACCTTGGGTCCTATTTTCCATCTAAATTCATAGGACAGGCCCCCTATCACCACACTCTTTGAGCACCTCACACATATAAATTTTTTTCTCCTCACAAAACCGCTGTAAAATGAGGGTACCTTACAGGTGGACAATTGAGACATTAAGGCCCCAATCCTAAAGTTAAGCACATGTACATATATTTGCAGAACAGGCCTATATAACTTGCCTAGGGTCCAAGAAGTCCATGACAGAATGAGGAACTGACCCCCTGTCTCCTGAAGTCAACTCCAGTCCTTCCTCTAATGGGGCCCTGATAGGGCATCTGAGGGTTATCAGTAATTCAGAGTGTAAGAGGATGACGACGAGCAATTCCTAACATTCTGAAATAGAGACTACAGTAGCACCTTGCTGACCTGCAGGCTTTATAGCTCATACAGAAACAAAAATGGTCTCTCCCCAGCTCTAATATTTAAAAAGGACAGTGGGGAGAGGACAAAAAAACAAAATCATATGTCTGTCAAAACAAACAAACAAAAAAAAAACCTATTGCTACAGTAATACCCATGATTACTAGAGCAAAGATTAGAGAATGTAGTATTTTAAAGTTTACTTTGTGCATCTGAAAGCACTGTCAGTAGAGCTGGACAGAATGAGGGAAAATTCATGGAATTTTTCCAATTAAGTTTCACTCTCAGCAACATTTTATTTATTTTATGCATCACTTGGGGCCGGATCCTTAGAACTAATTAGGTACCTAACTCCCATTGCAATCACTTGAGCATCCTGGCCTTGATTCTGCAGTGTCTCCTGTCTGTGTGGGTCATTCATACAGAAACGTGAGGCGAGAAATAATTTTTAAAAAGGAAGTATGAGTGGAAGATTCAAGCAGGAATGTATCAAACTACTTTTAAACTTTTTTTTGGTCTAGATCTCAAGTTGACACTGACTCTTTAATAGCAGATGCTGTGATTCTCTTTCTACCAGAGCATCATTACAGAATGTACATTAATTAGCCTGTAAAGTATAAATTAAAAACAAACCTACAGCTAGCAAATAAGGGCTTGATCCAGCTGCAGATCTCAACAGGAGTCTGTCCATTGACTGTAATAGGAGTTGAATTGGGTCCTAACTAAACAGAGACACTGCATCACAAAGTGGACTGTAGTCTTTAAAGAAAAAGAGTGTACTTACAGGAGTTCACAATAGTGAACCCCTTTCATTATGGTGAATTAAGGACGTTCTCCTTTACACACAATTAATGCTCCAGCTGTTCTCCATTATTAATAAGTGTCTTCAAGTTTGTGAGGAAACATAGGTTAATGCAAAGGTCTCCAATATGTCTAAAAGTAATCAAATAATCCACCACATTCTCTTGCGTTATTTTAAAATTTACTCCAGATTTCAGTTGTTTAGTAGGGTTATAGAACCCATATAAAATATAACTACTTCAATTCCAGCAGGAGGATCAGTGACTTAGAAATCAGTTTGAGTACACAACAAAACAGAAAGAGAGTGATGGGTTATATTCTATAATAGGATAAAGTCAGTCATTAGTGCCCTTAATTCTGTACTCTTTCACAGCTGCACTTACGCCAAGCATCCTTGCTGTACAGCTTGTTCAGCAGCCCGGTTGCAGAACTAGTATCTCCCCCCCAGAATGGGCTTGTTGCTCACTTGCAACATTCCTGGATGTAAAACAGCTGGCACTGGACTCGTTTTGACTGACCCCATAGGAAGACTTGAGATCATAACCATAGCTTGTGTCCCACAGAAAGTTTTTGTCTGAGGGCTAGATCCACAAAGGCGACCTAAAACATTAGGCATTGCAATGCTGAGACTTGTGCCCTGCCACCTACTGGAGCCCAGAGCTCCAGAACAGGCACCCACGCTCCCTGTATAATGCATGGGGAGAGTCACGTACCCAACAATGGGATCCACAAAAGCCAGCGAGGAGCCACTCAAACTGAGCCGATAAGAAATGCCAAGGAGACAGGTAGGCCCTGAACACCTCCCCTCATTCAAAGGCGGTAAGGCACCTAAATCCAGGCTGGAGGGAGGCAACCTCCTTCAGCTCAGAAGTGCCTTTTTTGGGGGGATGGGGATGTTATTGGAACAGGGACTTGAGTCATCACATCACAGGTTTGTGTCCTTACTAGTGGCCTATAGGCTTATTCACTCTTCTCCTGGCCTACGGACTATTAACTATTTCATGCCAAGTAGAAGATCTTAAACGGTGGATTAAGAGACCCCCCGTTGCACCCCCAGTACCCCAAAGTCTAGTAGTTAGGGCACTCACCCGAGAGGTGGGAGACCCTGGATTTCCCACATCCTGGTTGTGTGCTTTAACTACTGGGCTAAAGGCTATAAATGGAGGATAAGTGGCACCACCACCTGCATTATGTGCAGACCCTGATCCAGTAGGCAGCTTGTGAGCACCCCTACTGGATCAGTCCCTGCAGGCCCAATAGGTGGGGCAATACCTCTTTTGATGATCCTGCTGGGGCTTAGGCATGAGCCTGGCACCTGGGTATCAGGACTTAGGCAGCTGCGTACATGGCCCATGGCAGAAATGTAGGTGCCTACAGACTTTAGGCACCTACAGGATAAGGAGGCAGCTGAGCAGGGGTTTTGAGGATCTAAATTTTAGACTTTGGCACCTAAATCCCTTTCTGGTTCTAGCTCTTACTGCAGATAATTAAGTATGTTCGGGTAAAGTTTCAGGTGTTAAATGATTATCATAATCTTATTGCCATAGAAATACATGCTCCAATCGCTTACAGCAATAAACACATTGTTCTGTACTGCACCTTCAGAATATACACTGCCAGGTGTTGGCAATTATGAATGTAAGCACTTTTCAACCCCATGAGCTCATGTTACTTAGGGTTTTGGGGCCTCCATACCCTTCTAGCCATAACGAAAATGAAGGGCTCACGGGCTTCCTGAAAACTGCTCACAATACCGTCGGTCACAGCCCCCAAGCTGACAACCCACAAAACAGATGGAATGCAGACTTTATTACTAAAAAGTATTTAATAGCACGGACCTATTAGGACAATGAAAAGTAGAAATAAAAGCAAAAAATATCAAAACAAACAAGACTTATTCCTGGTAATCAGAGTGAGGTAGCAAGCGGACTACTTTATGAAAAGTCACAGGCAAATTCTTGCAGATTCAGTGGGAAGAACATCTGTTTCCAGCTCATGTATGGTAGCAGAAAGGGGAGAACCACTGAGTATCTATCATCTTGGACAGAAACATTTACTTTACTCAGTACTAAGCAAGAGGAGAAAACAGGAGAGCCAAATGCTTCTCTCTGTTTAAGACACTGGGGTGGCAATGCTGAAACAGAGGAGAATTTGACCCCAAAAGTCTAATTAAATCCATAATTTACAACTGACAACAGATGCTATATGGTATGTATAACAGAGCCAAGACCACGGAATCATTAAGGACATAGCTGGTAAGTCAGACTGTTGTTGCAAACCCACTTCAGAACGGTCACAGAATTAATGGCAGACATGGATCTAGCTCCCTAACATCATTACTAAACATTTATATTGCATCAGTGCCCAGCAGTCCCAATTAGGATTGGGGCCTCATTGTTAAAACCAGATCAATATTCTATTTAATAGCTCAGTCCAACTCTGATTAAAGTCAATTAGAATCTTTCCACTGATTTTTATGTGAGTTAGATCAGGCATCTAAGACAACAAAATTACCCCAGAGTCGAATTAAAATCTTCAGCAAGGCCAATGACATTACTGAGCACCACATATTCCTGAATCAAAGCAAGAACAATTCTGTTAATTACTTTTGGCCTTTATGTTATTTATAAAAAATTTAAAGTGCAGCTTGTGAATATTTCTAAAAGCAAAAGTTCCCAGTCTGAAGTAAATGTTCATAAAAAATTGATTACTAAAGCCATTCAGGCCTGTACAGTCTTCAATAACTGAAAAACAAACAAACAACACATTATTTCAAAAATAGAGATTAGAAAATTTGGGTTCACATGTACCAGGTACATGGCTACCATGTCTAATGTAAAATTTGATTTACAGTTTAAGAACAATATCTTCTTTAAAAAAATTCACACTGGTCCATTGTGATCCTTCAGTACCTAGTAAAACTTATACTCTGGGTTTTTTGACAGGTGGGTCCTGCAGGCTGAACTTTGGAATTTCACATGAAGAAGCAAAAGGAATTCTTTTTGCTGACACTTTCTTCCCAATTGTTTCAATCTGGAAGAGGAAAGAAAATTAATATACTATGTAAAGCTTGTGCAAAGAGAATCTTGTCAGCCTGTGAGGAATCTATGAACCAGTAACCTTGGGGCTTTCCCTACACTTGTTATATACATTTGGTGGATAAAAGCCACATTAAGTGGTTGTATTTCTAATACAAAAAAGAAGTTTGTCTACTAAAAGCGACCTCTCACTTTGCACATGCAAAACAAGCCCTTTACTGTAACAATTCTTAAAGAGATACCTCAATCCTGGAAATATTTAGGTATGTGCTTAATGCTAGGCAAGTGAATGTTCATTTGACTTCAATGGGACTGCCTACAGGAGGAACATGAAGTAGGTGCTTTAAGAGTTTAAGATTTATTTCAAATCTTAATTTTAAACGAGGGCTGTCAATTATTCACAGTTAACTCACTCTATTAACTCAAAAAAATTAATTGCGATTAATCGCACTGTAAAACAATGGACAACCAATTGAAATTTATTAAATATTTTCAGATGTTTTCCTACATTTTCAAATATATTGATTTTTATTACAACACAGAATACAAAGTGTACAGTGTTCACTTTATATTATTTTTATTACAAATATTTGCATTGTTAAAATGATAAAAGAAATAGTATTTTTCAATTACCTCATACAAGTATTGTACTGCACTCTCTTTATAAAGTGCAACTTACAAACATATACATTGGGGGGAGGGATAGCTCAGTGGTTTGAGCATTGGCCTGCTAAACCCAGGGTTGTGAACTCATTTAGGGATCTGGGGCAAAAATTGGGGATTGGTCCTGCTTCAAGCAGGGGGTTGGGACTAGATGACCTCCTGAGATCCCTTCCAACCCTAACCTTCTATGATAGATTTTTCTTTTGTTACACAACTGCTCTCAAAAACAAAACAATGTAAAACTTTAGAGCCTACAAGTCCACTCTGTCCTACTTCTTGTTCAGCCAAGTGCTAAGACAAACAAGTTTGTTTACATTTATGGGAGATAATGCTGCCCTCGTTTTATTTACAATGTCACCAGAAAGTGAGAACAGGCATTTGCATGGCACTTTTGTAGCTTGCATTGCAAGGTATTTATGTGCCAGATATGCTAAACATTCATATGCCCCTTCATGCTTTAGCCACCATTCCATAGGATATGCTTCTATGCTTATGATGCTCATTAAAAAATAATGAGGTAATTAAATTTGCGACTGAACTCCTTGGGTGAGAACTGTATGTCTTTGGCTCTGTTTTACATTCTGCCATATATTTCATGTTATAGCTATCTCGGACGATGACCCAGCACATGTTTGTTTTAAGAACACTTTCACAGCAGATTTGTCAAAACGCAAAGAAGATACCGATGTGAGATTTCTAAAATAGCTACAGCACTCGACCCAAGGTTTAAGAATCAGAAGTGCCTTCCAAAATCTGAGAGGGATGAGATGTGGAGCATGTTTTCAGAAGTCTTAAAAGAACAACACTCAGATGAGGAAACTACAGAACCCGAACCACCAAAAAAGAAAATCAACCTTTTGGTGGTGGCATCTGACTCAGCTGATGAAAATGAACATGCATCAGTCTGCTCTGCTTCGGATCGTTATTGAGCAGAACCCATCATCAGCATGGAGGCAAGTCCTATGGAATGGTGGTTGAAGATGAAGGGACATATGAATCTTTACGCGCATCTGGCACGTAAATATCTTGTGACGCCGGCTACGACAGTGCCATGCAAATCCCTGTTCTCACTTTCAAGTGACATTGTAAACAAGAAGCAGGCAGCATTATCGCCTGCAAATTATAGCCAAGTGTGTTTGTCTGAGCGATTGGCTGAAGTAGGACGGAGTGGACTTGTAGGCTCTAAAGTTTTATATTGTTTTATTTTACTATTTCTTTTGTTTTTTACAGTGCAAATATTTGTAATAAAAAATATAAAGTAAGCACTGTACACTTGTATTCTGTGTTGTAATTGAAATCAATATCTTTGAAAATGTTAAACATCCAAAAATATTTAAATAAATGGTATTCCGTTATTGTTTAACAATGCAATTAATCGCAGTTAATTTTTTAAAATCACTTGACCTACTGTAAACACAAGAATAATGGTGCTTGGCTTTTTTTAAAAAACAACAAGGTAACCCTGTAAGGCTAAGAGTTTCCAACTTGTTTTTACTAGCCAAACAAACTGATCAGGAAGCTTGTGTATACAAAAACCAGGCATCGTCATTTCCATGTGATGAGCCTGATTTGCCTCTCACTTACACCCATTTAATTCCATAGACTTCAACATAATTTTTCCCAATCTACACTGGTGTAAGAAGAGAATTAGGCCCAAATAATTCTGCTCAAGAGTGGACTAGATTAGAGACCCAACCATTGAATAATTAGAGGTGTATCTTCCCCTCTTGAACAAGAGCTCATCTGTGGCTTAGCTTAGTAAAGCTAACGACTACAGGTGGGCACACACAAACAATAGTTGATTCTCCAAGCCACATGATAAAAAGTGGACCAAATAGCAATGTGCTAGATAGAGACCTCAATGATGGATAATTCCAGCTTTCAAACTATCTAGTGTACTAGTACATTCTGAAAGAAACCAAGTTATTTAGACAACTATTTCAGATTTTTACATTTTAGTAAATGCTGAAGGTAGCATTCCGTTATGAATGCCTGTCTAATTTTGTTTCTATGTTTTATTCAGAATTTAATTGAGTCTTGACGTGATGAAATACTTGTGTCAGGAGATCATTCACTCAAATTTTAATATTCGTCATTCTGATGCTGCCAGAACATCAGCTATGGCCATGTCTGCACTAGGGCCTTACAGCTCCATAGCTATACCGCTGTGTCACTCTAAGGTCTCCTGTGTAGTAATTAAACCACCCGCAACGAGCGGCGGGAACCATGATGCCTGGAAAGTGTCTCCTGCTGACATAGCGCTGTCCGCACAGGCACATTTGTCGGTGAAACTTATATTGGTCGGGGGAGGTGGGGAGTGTTTTTTTTCCACACCCCTGACTGACAAAAGTTTTGCTGATGACAGTGCTAGTGTAGACAAAGCCTATGTCTAGTAAAGCTATGTCTAGTAAACTCATTTGTCTATGTTACTGAATGTTGATGGAACAGCCTGATGTGGCTTGGATTTTAAAGCAATATCAGTTTACAACCAGAGCTGTACTGTAGGAAAAGTGCTATCAGAGAAGGGCTTAGTAAAAGGACCTTTACAGGTTAACTCTAAAGCAAGATATTAAACTCACATACTAGATTCTTCTAGTGATTCAACCATACTTCTCCAAAAGGAAAACAGCTAGTTACCTGGAAGCCTATGACTTGTAGCTCATTATGAAGATCATCAAGAACCCTCCTACCATCAAAGATGAAAGCTGGTTTCAGCATTTTTTTGTGAATGCACTCATAATCCAGCTCCTGTAAATGACCCACAGAATTTGCATAAGTGTCAGAATTCCTCTTAATTTTTTCCCTGTTTTTTAAAGGTATTATTTTTACCTTAAACATGTCCCACTCAGTGCAGATAACCAAGGCATGAGCTCCATCACAGGCTTCATATGGATCTTTACTAATAGTGACCAGACGAGACACTGTAACCAAAAAGTGAAAATGAAGCATTATGCTTCCCCGTTTCCTGGCAGCATTCTCATGTCCTGGTAGGACAATTTCCCTGATAGCCCTACTCAAACACAAACTTTCAATGTCAACAACACCTGAAGAGTTTTCCCTTATCTAAAGGTCCTAGAGCCACTGAAGGCAACAGCAGCAGTGGGTATTCAACATCTCTGTAAGGTCAGGGCACTTACTTGAACGTCTAGGTTAGGCACCTAAGTTTGAAAGTTTTGTTGCAGATTCACTAAGGAATTAGAAGTAATTATCCAACAAATCCAGATCCAGACATGGATAGAGCTCATTGTAAAATAATCATTATTGAGTAGTGATAATAACAGCACAGTGCTTTTCAAAACACTCCATGCACATTTACTATTTAATACTGCGTACACACTACATGGCTTCTGTTAGCCGAGCTCACTGCACATACCAGGAGGCTGCATGCATTCCTTCTTAAGCTCCCTGTGTACCATCCCCCCTCTTTCTTCATGCCAGGGTCTCTGTGTGCCCCCCCATCTCCTCTTGTCCCCAGTACCAGAATCTCTGTGTGTCCCCACTCCTCTCTTTAGTCTTTATTTTCTGTTAGAGCATTCTAGAATTATGGCATTACAGACTTAGACCAAGTCTATACTAGGAGCGTTTTGTTAGTATAGCTATACCAGTATAATATAGTAGCAAAGTGCTCCTAGCATGAATGCGTTTTACTACAACCCCCAACAGCCTATGGAATTAGCTTCCAGAAAATTATAGTGAGTTCTTCTCTGGACTAGCCAGGCACAAGACTGAATAGGTCGTAGGTGCCGACCTCCGTGGGTGCTCCGGGGCTGGCGCACCCACGGGGAAAAATTGGTAGGTGCGGAGCACCCACCGGCAGCTCCCCGCCCCGCCCCACCCCAGCTCACCTCGACCTCCTCCCCTGAGCGGGCCAACGTGTCCTGCTTCTCCCCTGTCCCTCCCAGCGCTTGCGCTGCGAAACAGCTGTTTCGCATGGCAAGCCTGGGAGGGAGTGGGGAGAACGCCATGTGCTTGGGGAAGAGGCAGGGCCAGGGAGGGGATTTGGGGAGGGATCCAATAGAGGCAGGGAGGGGGCGGAGTCGGGGCAGCACAAGCGCCCACCGACACCAACAAAACTTAGGAACCTGGAAGGGGAGAAGGAGCTGGTCGAATGACACTAGTCTTCTTCCTCCCTCACTCCCCTTTCCCACATTCTTTTTGAATTGAAGGAGACACTCTTTACACAGCTTCAAAATTAATGTCTCAAAGGGGACAGACTGGCACAGAAGTAACTTACACACATGCAAGCATTTTAGAAGCTATGAAGAATGAAATAAAAAGGGTCACTGTCAATTTTTTGTTTAAACTGAGGCAAACCCCTGATTTAATAATTTAACTGAACTGAGCATCCATGTCTGACATGCTGAAAGCAATTTCAAGAGCACTGGATGGATTCTGATGGTGACACACAGCAGAAGGATAGAATTTATGAGAAGCAAAATTCCCTCACCTTGGTCATCTTCTGAGACACCTGGGTGTGAGAGATCCAGGATGATCTGTTCCCTTGGTACTTTAGGGTCATATATATGGAGTTTTGCTCCTTCATCCATTAAATACTTGCTGATGTAAATACTGGAAGACTCTCTAAGAAAATAAGTCAGCCAGTTAATGGAAGTCTTCAGACAAACACATTTAGATTTATTTAGAACAACAACATGAACAAATACTCAGAAATGTGCAGTGCCAAAGCTTTCAAACTGAAATTATTGTATGTAATTCCAGGATAACACTCGACAGTAGGAAAGTAAATCATCAGTAAAAACATGAAAACAAAAATAGAATTTTAGTCGCAGCCACCAAAGAAAGCCAGCCCTCATTTACAATGTTTAAAAATATTTTTTAAAATCTATTACTATAATCTGGTTCAGTCACAATTTAATGTGTAATTTGGCCAAGTAGTCTGAATGGGGCCAAAAACCACACTCAGTGGGGTAAGATTCCCTGCCTGTGAATACAGAACTCTAGCATCTGAGTTTAGGGTGACTCAGCAGAAAACTCCTGCATTATGGTTCTGAGTAGTTATGAGTAGGGCTCCATATATGTCACGGATTCCGTGACTTTCTGTACCCTCCGTGACTTCTGCAGGGGCCAGTATGGTTGACCTTAGGGCTGCCCAAGCAGCTGGCTCTGCAGCCAGCTACTTGAGTTCTCGCCAGCCGGAGCAACCCTGGGTAGCGGTCGCTGGCCGACCGGAGCAGCTGGGCTGCGACCCCCAGCAGCTGCAGCCACTGGCCTCAGGTGCCCCCCGATCACATTTCAGCCACAACAGGTTGATGGGCATCTATTTGATCCTCTTCCCCATCTACACAGTTGAAATGGTGGTAAACAGTTGTTTTAGCTGTGTAGATGGAGCGCAAGATTAGATAAGTCTTCCAGCATGCCTTATGACAGCGTTAATTAGTTTCATGCATTTTGTCACCTTGTATCTCCTGTATCCTTTTTGAATGCAAATCCTAGAATAGCAATCTTCTTGTCAGTGACTGTGTTAAACAAGCTGTCAATAATACGGGAAGCAAATCTCCTTCTCTGGTAATCATTCATGTCTATCACCTGAAATTATGCAGAATATGGTCATACGAATGAGGTTACACTTGACCAAAGAAATGCAGTGTTAATAGTTACTGGGGAAAAGAGTGCTACTGATAAGCCTTTGCTCCTGATAAAAGCACTCAGTTAAAACTGAACTAGGCAGATGTACATGTTTTAAATATTAATATGGTTGCAATTTCTATTTTTAATAGGTAAAATATGAGTAACTGAAGGACTGATCCAGCTTTTTTTAATCACAGGAGCAGAAAAAGCAGTCTTGATCCTGATCCCATTGAAGTCAGTGGATGTTTTCAATTGATTTAACATTCAGAAACTACCAAGAATCAAATTTTGCTGTCCTTATTAGTAAAACTTCCAGAGAACATTTGCTTAAGAAAGGGTCTTGGAAAATTTTGTCCTAACTTTAGGTGTTGCTCCATGGCTCCTTGTGTGGAAGCTTTCCCCAGATCTTAATGTACAATGTAGTTTCTGCGCAATGTAGTTTAACCAAACCTCCCCCTTCCTCCCCCCCCCCCCCAAAAAAAAAAACAAAAACAAAACAAAAAACCAACCACACAAGCACAGCTCACTATTCTAGGCCAAGACATGGATAGCAACAACAATAGGAGTGAACATTGTGGTAAATTTCAGGGAGAAAATGATCTTAGAAAACAACAGCATTATGCCAGCAGACTACAGCAAAAACTACACTTCCCTCTAGGTTTGTGAATATATATTATGTAGTACATCTATTTTACACAACAGTCAGGCAGTTTTAGTACCAGTTTAGTGCATACCATAACATGTCAATACACAAAGACTGGCATGGATGTAAGTGGTAGTGATGCACTTTAATGATAAAAATACTTCTCTTTGAGAAAGGCTTGGAGGCCATATGTAGGTTACTATCTACCTCTATAGTTGAGCTGCTGGTTTTTGCCCCTTCCCCCAACATTTTAGCCCTTGATCCCTAGTCTTTTTAAGACCATTGCCTCCAATGACCAAGTAAGAAAGCCAGGTATTCCCAAAGATTGTTTGGTCAAAGGCATACATACCTCAGATAATGTAGGCTAGTCTCCTCTGTGACTCTGAACATGAGCACATTCTCATTGCAATGAACAAAACTACACTTAGCAGTGATGTGAACAGTAGCATATGGCCCACATCAGGTATAAGTTGCTCAGAAAATGGATGTTAGTGGTAAAATAATGTCACTTGCACTGATTTGGTTTTCTATACTTGGTGTGTAAATTACTCTTTGCTCCAGGGGAAGAAATGAGGTGGCAAGGTAGCAGAAAAGCACTTAAGAGGAGGGTTTAAGATTAATGTTTTAGGCCCAATGGAAGTTCAGTACCTAAATACCTTCAACGATCTCATCTGGGCCTTATCCCTACAGACTTAACTGTATCCTCCAGAATCTAAAGCCTTGTCTACACACAAACTTGTATGGCTTATTTAAACCAATTTAATTAAACCAATGCAAACAACGATGTGGACACAAATTAAATTAAGAGCAGTTTATTCTGGTGTATCTTAAACCCGTCCTTAATCAATTTAAGTTAAATCAATATAAACCACACCTTTTATTGGTATAGCTCACAGGTGGGCACACTACGTCCCGCGGGACCATCCTGCCCGGCCCTTGAGCCCCTGGCTGGGAAGGCTAGTCCCTGGCCCCTCCCCTGCTGTCCCCCCCTCCCCTGTACCTACGCCGCCGTCCGGGCAGCGGGGCTGCGAGCTCCTGCTGCTCTGAGGGGTATGGTAAGGCGGCGGCTGCAGAGTTGTTGGATATGGGTCAGGGGGTCCCAGGGGGCAGTCATGGGACAGGGAACAGGGAGCGGTTCAATGGGGTGGAAGTTCTGAGTAGGGGCAGTCAGGGCACAGGGAGCAAGGGGGGCTGGATAGGGGGTGGGATCCCAGGGGGAGCAGTTTGGGGTAGGGGGTCCGGGGGGGGGGTCAGGGGACAAGGAGAAGGGGGGTTGGATGGTTCTGAGGCAGGCAGTCAAGGGACGGGAAGTGGGAGTGGGTGGATAGGGGGCAGGCTGTGGGGGGCACAGCCTTCCCTACCCGGCCCTCATAGAATCATAGAATATCAGGGTTGGAAGGGATCTCAGGAGGTCATCTAGTCCAACCCCCTGCTCAAAGCAGGACCAATCCCCAATTAAATCATCCCAGCCAGGGCTTTGTCAAGCCTGACCTTAAAAACTTCTAAGGAAGGAGATTCTACCACCTCCCTAGGTAACGCATTCCAGTGTTTCACCACCCTCCTAGTGAAAAAGTTTTTCCTAATATCCAACCTAAACCTCCCCCACTGCAACTTGATACGCTCCCTCCATACAGTTTTGCATCCCAATGTGGCCCTCAGGCCAAAAAGTTTGCCCACACTAGGGGCTTCCATTCACTATGGGATTGTCTACACATGAAACACTACAATGGGGTTCTCCCACTGGTGTACATAATCCACCTCCCGGAGAAGTGGTAGCTAGGTCAATGGAAGAATTTTTCTATTGACCCAGTGCTGTCTACCCCAAAGATTAGATTAGCTTAACTACACTCCTCAGGGCTGTGGATTTTTCATGACCCTGAGCAACATAGCTGGGTTGACCTATCTTTTTAGTGTAGACCAGGCCTACGTCTGTTTCTAAAACAGATATATTTAAAACCCTACAAAAAGTTTGTAGATCAGCCCCTATATGTCCACATGAAGGTTTATACCAGTTTAAAGTAACACCTTAGTTTGCACCAATGCAACTTTAAACTTTTTTTAAAGTTTCTATTCCTTCTTTGTCAGAATGAAACCTGATTGTCTTATCTTGATCTTAGAGCCAGACAGGCTGAAACAATAAGTGTAAATTTGTCTCTTTCTTCTCAGCTTGATGCTTAATGTTCATGTCATTGCTATTCCTCATCTTAAAATCATCCAGCTAATGTGGTTAACTCCTGCAGTTTCACATACTCAGGATAATGACAAGACAATGCCTTCTTTACCTGTGATGTTCTGTAGCAACCAGGCTACAATACATACACACAAAATCAGAGCACAAGTAGTGGAGCTAGAAATGTTCTCACATGATAACACAATGCACTATCCAAATGGATACCTGACAGCCCATATGTTAGTCTTTTGCTTAATCAAGTAATTGGCTAGTGAGGGTCTTTACAATGTTATCAGCAGCAAAGTGTTGGAATCAGCACATGGGTTCTTGTGGGTTTTCCATAAAAACTTTAGAGTTATTTGAAAGTGTATTAAAATAAGTTGCCTTCATTAATGCTAGACTGAGACAAGGAGGCTAGATTGTGGTTAAAGAACAGACATGGAGTCAGGAGACCCGGGTTCTGTTCCCAGCTCTGTAACTTTCTGTGTTGTGCTGGTCAAGTCATTTACCAAAGGCACAGAGGGGTTACAACTACACTGCAATCTGAGGTGTGATTGCAGTTTCATAGACACAGCCACATTAGCTTTACTTGTGGCACAATGGCTAAAAACAACAGTGTAGCTGCAGCAGTGCAGGCTGTACAAGCCCACCCAGAACCCTGGGTTACCCTAAGCCAGCACATCAACATTGCTATTTTTAGCTATGGTAGCACACATAAAGCTAGCCTGGATGGGTCTGCCTGAGATGACACCTTGGATTTACACCCTCCATGTAATATAGGGATAGTAATACCCACCCTGAAGGGGTGATGAATCCTCATTTATTATATTTGTAAAGCATCCTATTAACCTCAGGTGGAAGGTGCTATACAAAGTATTTATTAATAAATATTTATTACCTCGATAGTTAAGGGTATATTTTATTTTCAGTTCCAATCAGACTGAAGGATAAACGATAATTTGCCACAGACAATGCTGAAAAGTTACAAGCTGAAGAATTACTGGCTCATTACAGAGGTAACAGTGACGTGCCCTGTTTGAATAAGTTTTACACTAGTGAATGGACTCATACCTGTTGCCAATAGCGAGCTACTTCAGGCAAGTTCAGAGCCTCACAAAGGTACACTAAATTTAGAACATCCTTCTGAAAACAGCTACCACCAAATCCTGAAAGAAAGGAAATGGTTACTCAACAGATGGTCTTCATCAGTAAAAGATTAGTGTACTTAGCAATATGTACTTTATGTCTGGAATACGTCAGGGAGCTGATGGAGGCCACTTTTTGACAGGCCTGGCCAGTTTCTCTACTCTTACTGGTTACTGGTCAAGAGATGTAATTTGCCAGATTTTTTTGCTGTGTGCACCTGTGGCTGTGTGTGCACTGATCTTGAAACTAGCAGCCACACATATCATGGCTGGGAGCACATTGTGGCCTACACCTGGATCCTGCTCTGCATGCACAGCATACACTCTGCCATGCCCCCATCTACTGGCTGCCGAAACCACAGAGGCTCCTCTCAACATCAGTGACCAGCTGGGAAGTGGGACAGTCCCATCACCTGAGGGTGAGGCTTGCTAGTAGGGAGGGGATGGTAAAGGGGTCCCCTCCAAGGCTGAGGCTCCTAGGAGGGTATGGGTATAGGGGCTCAAGGGCCAGGGGTGGGAGTCAGGTGGGGAGAAGAGTAAATCTATGCCCCTCCACAACACATACACACTTTAAAATGGCACTCCACAGCCCCTGAAGTTTGGCATTTATTGACCAAGATATCAAAAATAGTTTTTCAGGGACGGTCTGCCAGTCTTTTGAACTAACCTCCTAGGATTCTTCCAAATCCTGTTCCTCAATCCTATTTACTTTAGCAGCTCATAGGACCTAAAATCCTGTCAGTTTTGCCACTGACCTCAACAGACCTGCTGCTTCTTCCCCAAAGGATCACTACCCAGAGATTAGATTTAAACTAGTCTTAAAAGGGTTCTGGATTCTCACTCACTATCATAGTCAGGAGCCAAAGAAGAACAAAAAGCTGATGAGGGGTTTAGATAATGAGTGGCAGGATCCAGAACTCTCAGACTCCCCTCTACCAAGCCAAAGAGGTAGGTATCTGAAAAATGGGAATATTTTGGATAACAGATTTTGCTACTTGCCATTCCTCTAATATAAACATTTGTGGAAAAGACAACATTTGGTAAAAGTAATCTTAAAAATTAAATATTTTTACTATGGAGATTGTAGCCATGTGAATAGGGTTGCATCTTTTTCCACTGACCCAACTAATGGACATGCTCCATGAAGTTTCATGTCCCCAAGGCAGAGCCTCAGGATATCTGGCCAGTCAGACTGGGGCTGCAGAATTTGCATTCTGATAGCTTTCCCTATCATATTTCAGTCTGCAATACCAAAGTCTGGATAACTGAATTCACTCTGCTGACTAGACTGTAGACAAACTATGTAGTAACTAGAAAGCTACCCATCAACCACCCAGTAGGGAATGCTCTAGAAGGATGAAATTGTAACTTTCTAGCTAGTCCATGCCAACTGGAAGTGTGAGACTCTACAGAGGACAATCTGAATCCTTAATCTCTTTCATTAAAGAATTAAAAAAACCAAAACACAAAAAACAACACTACATCAACCACAACACAACAGTAGGTCTTTTGTACGATGTTGTGCTTTGAACAGTCACTTCAGAATACCAGTACTTATTTTTAAAATGTTTCCAGTTGAGCTATTGTGCTGGATAGAGACAGTTCTCCTACCAAGTCTAAACAGAGAAAAAGATTCTTCATTTACCAACACTGGCCTTCAGAAACTTATTTCCTATTCTTTGGTCCATTCCAATGGCTCTTGCTACCTCTTCAACATCAGCTCCTGTAGCTTCACACAGAGCACTGATTGAGTTAATGCTGCTGATTCTCTGGGCAAGGAAAGCATTAGCTGCCTGTAAATAAAAGACAAACACCACAGATTTGGTTTCCCCTCCTGTAAATAACATGTCTGTAAGTCAGTGGAGAGGTGTGGTTTGATTTTTTTTTTTTGTTTGTTTGGTACAGCTAAAAAGAGGGGGACTATTTCAATGTGTACACAGATTTGGTTTTTGGCTGATGTTACCATTTTCTGCTGTTTCCAGTATGTATGATTTCATTCCCAAAATAACTGATTTTGGATAAGGTCTTTTCTGATACAGAAAAGCCAACTAATAAGTTGTGAACAAACAATTTTGATATGCAATACTGGAATCGCTTATAAGCATTCAGATAACTAGTTGCTATAGCTTTTTATTATTCTTAGTAATTTCAGTGCTGATATTTTGTATTTAAGTTGTTGATTGACATAGCAACATAACTGATACGAACCAGTTTGGAAAGCTCAGATGACCAAGTATTGGTTGTGAGGATTTTTTCTTTAGGAACCCAGTGCTCATACACAGCACATAGCGCATGGACTGCCTTCTGTCCTTCCGGAGTCTCATCTCCACCAATCAGCACTCTGTCGGGGTTCTTTAGGTCCTTGATAGCTGTTCCTTCTGCTAGGAATTCTGGGTTAGACAATACCTGCAAACAGACAGGAAAATAAAGTTTAAAGTAAAACTCAAGGAATTTTTTGGCAGGGGGGCGGAGGGAGAGGAGACACTTTAGTCCATAACTTCTAGATTTTTACCTGCAAATTCAAATTAGGTTTTGTATTGGCATCAAATATCCGACGAATACTCTCTGCTGCACGTACTGGGACTGTGCTTTTCTCGGTGACAATCTTATAACCATTTGAATTTTGTACAATCCGCCTAGCACATGCTTCAATGTACTTCAGATCAGCTGCCCGGCCTTTTCCCATCCCATAGGTCTTTGTTGGGGTGTTAACCTAGTTACAAATTCACGGGAAGGAAAAAAACGTTATTAGAGTCTTAACAAAATTTTCACAAGTCTGAAGATACAGGAACTCCTGCATACATGAGATTGTACTCTAAGGACAGGAAAGCTTCTTTTCTACTGATTCAGCCAGTTACTGGCTGCCAGATCAATGAACAGCTAGCAGACTTATCAATTACTCATTCTAAGTTGTAAAAAAAATATGACTAAACTCTGTTCATCGTCAAATGGGATTTACACAAGGGGCATTATTCATAGCATCTCTGCAGGCTTCAGCAGAGTCTAATGTTTATTCAGAATTGCTTCCCCATACCCACAAAGAACTATTTCTAGTCTTCTCCCCAACTCAAGCTACAATACATGCAAAGATTCAATTCCCCCTTATTTCCCTCTACTCTGATGTGAATAGTAGGGAGGCTACCCCCCAAAACCATCTGACTGGAAAAGCTAGGTGCAGACCAGCCACAGAGCTCCTGATAATTGCTGTACTTGAGTAGGGTGGGGGGAAGTGTCAAATGTAGGGCAATATTTCACTTAACTGAACATAGAGGGTCCTTCTCGTTACAAACTGAAGGCAAGAATATCGAAATTAAAACACAAGACAGCATGTTTTACCAGCCAGGGACAGGAACTCAGCTGGCAATCTACAAGCTGAATTAATGACTGTCATCCAATAACTGATTCAGTGATTTCATAGCATTAATATTAGACTTTACTGATTCATGCAGAAGATTCTCCCAGGGGACGGAGGAGAACAAGAACTCTTCCCAATATCACAGCTCTCTGTAAAGTACTTGAAGAATAGAACAATAACTGGCCTGCAGCCCCAGAGCTTGTTATTATGTAGTTCTGTTGGATATGGAACTAAGTAAATGACTTTCAACACTGCAAAATGCCATAAATGTGTGTTTAAAAAATGCTGCAGTCTTCTCCTCTCCACTAATTAACTGAATTTTAAAAAGTACTGAAAAAAAAAATTAAAGACTCTTTATATCCAGATAAGTATTATACAATTTTCATTGCCAATCCTGCAATGAAACCTGCTAATGGACTCTTATTTCTGCACGAGTCCCATCAACTTCAGCGGAATGCTACAAATAGAAGTCCACACTAGTGGATTCTGTTATAAGACTGTGGCCTTATTTTGTATTGTGTCTTCAGAAAATACTCAGCTATGTAAAGTAACAAGCTTATTATTTGTATATATAGAGTCCAAAAGTTTGTTGGGTGCTTTACTGATAGAGAGAGATAAATAACAGCAAAGGAAGAAGGTTAAGAGTTTTATCATCCTCACTGAAAGCTAAGCATAACTGCCTGGTAAAACCCGCACAATGCAGCACAAGTCTGTTATGCCTCCTGAAACTACATCACCTCTTCAAACAAAATAAAGGACATGTAAAAAAAAAAACCGAAACACCCCCGCCACATACACATTTGAGCACAGCAATATAATAATGATAATAAGTATCAAAGTGCAAAAGAAACTACTTACAGAAATAAATACCAAATCAGCCTCCCTAATGGCATCATCAATACTGGTGGAAAAGAAAAGATTCTTTTCTCGGCAGGACTCTACCACTTCTTTTAGCCCTGGCTACAGAGAAACAGGAAAGTATTTAATAGCCAACATTTGATTAAAACAGGTAACAGTATACTCAAACAGGCAGAACACAACTTTAAGTACAACAAAGATTTTGTTTTCAAGTTTTTTAATTTTATCTTTATTAAAAGTTATTTCAGATCTGTCAGAAAATAAAACTTGTGTGGATTCACAGAGGACCATACTGAGTACAAACTAATTATAGCCCTCTCTTACACAGAAACATAGCACTGGGATGCTTTCCCAACACCTCCCCACACTTACATGGGGCCTCTGGCTATTCATACACCTGGACAAACTCCGTGTATTAGTACTTCATACAAAAATGTTTTAATTATTTGACAGAAACTAAAGACACTATTCTAAATAAAATAGTAAAGAATTGTGAATTTAACCGAATCACAAACTCTCCTGAAAGTACTATAAAAAGAATGACAGAAGATCCTTTTTCAGTAACTGCCATCAAGGTGAAGGTTCAGTTTGGGGGAAGGGAGGGAAGCTGCACCTTACCTAGACAAAGACATTTTCTGCTTTCTCACTGTTTACTAACCGAAATAAAAAAGTAACTCAAGTAGAAAATCATTGCCACACAACCTGAGTCATTTCAAACAAACACCAGAACCCAATTATGAATAAGACTAACATTCCAGCTGTGATTTTTGCTGGGATTCAGGTACAAAGACTGCTCATGTAGAAACCAAAGGATTATCTTGTATTTTCCAATACGGCAGTTGAAGGGGGTGGAGCACAAAGTGTCAGGGGTCAAGAATTGCAACTATCTGAACTCATTCTGAGAGGTTTTGGGGTACTCTTTGTAAGCAATAGACATCCTGCTGGGAAACATATGTGCTTCTGGTATGAAGAGACTAGCTGTGTTTTAATTTGCTCAAACAGTTTAAATTTTAATAAAAAAACAAAACATTTGCTCATCCATGTTGAGATCTGTACTCAATTCTTCCCAAAATTCTTATTCACTAATCTGAATGCTGTAAATTTTACTGGTTTCAGAGTAACAGCCGTGTTAGTCTGTATTCGCAAAAAGAAAAGGAGTACTTGTGGCACCTTACTGTTAGTAAATTTTAACCAAGGTTTAACCAACTCACTTTACTGTTAGTAAATTTTAACCAAGCTCTAGAAACAAGAGGCAAAGGCTATGAGAGTTTGATTTTCTTAAACAAAGGTCAACAGACCAACTTTGTCCTGTATTTGATATTACAGGAAGGGTAAAAATCAGAGGTAACATTAGAAGACAAGAAACAAGCTTATCTCTTATTATGGCCAAAAGAAAAATGTAAGGCAAACTTGCAAAATTCTACTTTCCTTGCTTTTGAGGGTTGAGCAAAAACATTCGCTTTTTCCATTAAAAAGTGTGGACAGGTATATCTTGAGCCCTGGGTCAGTACATTTTCATGTCAATTTTGTTACTTATAACAACAAGGGGTGGTGGTGGTGAGAGCTACTCTTTAATGAGCAAAACCTGTAAAATATCAAGTGCTAAAAATGGTAATTTGTATACAAGACAATGGAATCCTTTTGTAGTATAAAAAGCAATGATAATGTTACATATCAACAGATCTCTGATATTGAAATTAGTGTATGGGCTTACTGAAAAATTATTTTATAACTAAAAAAACAAAACAAAGATGTGAAGTGTTACTGATTAGGAATTTAAAAGCTTTTGGTACCCTTGGTGATCATCAGGGTATCATTCAGGTTTAAAAAAAAGCTGACTCCTCATACGAAGGACTAAAGCTCTAGCAAAAATCCTAACTTTAAGAAACACCAAATTCCAGTGAACAACTAGCATAGGATCAGATTTTGCTACCCTGATGCCAGTCAAAAATCAACAAGACTGCTTGTGTAGTGAGGTACTACTCGCTTTAAGAGTGGCTGAATGAGCCCCACAATGGTTTCTCATTTTCCTGTATGTTGCTAGATCACCTGTATGCTAGGTGAAAGTTTGATTCACCATTTCACAGCCATTTGCAATGGTGTAGGGAAAAGTGGTGAATTCTTAACTGACTCCTTAAATGTTGATGGCCTGTTTCCACAGGAGTGAATAGCTCAGTTAGGCCTGGTCTCCACCAGGAAAGTTGTTCTCTCCCTTCTAGGAGCTCAGCTGCATTACAGTTACAACAGAGCCAGGAGACATAACTACAATATGGCTGGCTGTCCGTGACTTACAATTTGTAGTGTGGATGGAACCTAACCACAGTGGTCCAAAGCATCTTCCTGGGACACAGATTGCCATTCACATTACATATTGGAACTGTGTTGTAACAAAGGAGAAAATTTTGTCATAACTGGGTCTGCTGACTCAGCTATAAGAGTGTGGTATACACAGGGCCCAAAAAGAACCATGATTTTGTATGATTTACTGGATACAGTAAACATTTTTTCCTGACCAGGATGCACAAGGCCTAAGTCAATCATCTCTGAAACACGCTCCAGCATCTGGCAGCAGTAAGTTCATGGAAGCCACTGGTCATTTCAAACCCTTGTTTACCGCACATGCTTAATATATAGTTGTTGAAGAAGCATTCTTTTTGAATGAAGCATGTAATTTTGATGTTCCTAGAACAGCCATTAGGAGTCAAAGCCAGGCAGAGGGGGGGACTGTATGAGCAGAGGCAAATACTTTATATTAAAGACAGAAATGCTATAATAAACACAAGTTTACCTCATAAATTGGAAGTGTATCAGAGTTCCAGGCATTGATTCTAGCTTCATTAACGTCAACAACTGTAACCTTGATTTTAGGGCACATATGTGCAATGACACTACACGTTGGCCCACCAACATAGCCTGCACCAATACAGCAGATTTTCTTAATTTCAAACATGGTTACTCTAGTGGAGAAGGGGACGGAGAGGGAAAGAGAGAAAAAAGAGGCAAGGTCATTATACAGTAATTCAAACAGTAAAAGCCACAGATAGTCTCCTTTATGCTACCATAGTCAATCAGAAACATTTCCTTACATACTTAGTATAATTATAAAAAGAGCATCCCAATTGAGCATCCATTGAAATTAGCTAGTTAGTCTCTTGTCTCCAGGAACACTTAAATCCTAGCTATACTAGCTAGGGAAATTCTGATAGCATCTTTGTAATGAGACATACATAGATCATTAGAAAAATGCTAACTATTTTCCATGGCCATCTTAAAACAGGAACTAAAAATATGACAAACAAAGATCATTCCTGTTTAATAGAAAAACTAGTATTGCATGGTCTAAAGTGTAAATTGAGTCTACCCTTTAATAATAAAAAGAACAGGAGTACTTGTGGCATCTTAGAGACTAACAAATTTATTTGAGCATAAGGTTTCGTGGGCTACAGCTCACTTCATCGGATGCATGCAGTGGAAAATACAGTGCGGAGATTTATATACACAGAGAACATGAAACAATGGGTGTTACCATACACACTGTAAGGAGAGTGATCACTTAAGGTGAGCTAATACCAGCAAGGGAGGGTGGGGATGGGGGGAGAAAACCTTTTGTAGTGATAATCAAGGTGGGCCATTTCCAGCGGTTGACAAGAACGTCTGACGAGGGGGGGGGGAGTAAACATGGGGAAATAGTTTTACTTTGTGTAATGACCCATCCACTCCCAGTCTCTATTCAAGCCTAAGTTAATTGTATCCAGTTTGTGTTTCATGTTCTCTGTGTATATAAATCTCCCCCCTGTATTTTCCACTGAATGTATCCGATGAAGTGATGAATTTTAATTTTAGTTAGTTTCATCAATGTTAAATCATGATAAACCACTCACTGCTAGCCAAACAGTAACGAATCTCAAAATTAATCACCAGAGTTCCTATTCTGTCTGGTACTGAGCAACCTCTCAATGAAGTCTTTGGGACTAGAGAGTGCTCAGCCACTTCAGTGGCTGGACCATGGAAAAGATAAATGCTTACAAAGTTTTGAAAACTTATTAAACCAAACACAGCTACCATATCAACCATGCTGAACAGTGACTTAACTAAAGACTTAGTTGTATGCTATCAAAATTAACTTTAGAAATAATGTTGATATAGCTTATATTTTGATGAGGGATGTCTCACAATTAGCCCCCTTTTCTTCCACAACTCATTAATTTATTCATTTTAGAAATTTCTGAAGTGTGTCTATCACACCTTTCTTTGAACACAATGGACAATAAGTCCGGATCCTTCTCCCATTTAAATTAGTAGGTGTTTTGCCACTGATTTTCATAGGAGCCAGCGCTGAGCCCTTAAAACTACACAATTATACCGATCATGTTGTCTCAGTATTTTAGGATCACTGTAATCATGACAGGATTCAGCTCTATTTCCCCTTGTGTTTTACAATTCATAAATCTCACTGGAGATAACTATCAGTCATTTTCCAGGTCATCACATTACTTTTACTATAGCAGAAGAGATTGCCTTCCTCTTTCCTCCCGCTCCCCAAAATATACTCAAGTATTACTGTATATACAATAAATTGACTCTAGAGAGGCAAGAATTCTTAGTACACTATTAACACGATTATACTATTTCCTTTTTAGCTAAACTTGGCTCACTGCTGACAAAAGAGGCTTCTATCAATCACTAATTATTTTAATAACTATTACATCACTTTTGGTAGTTTGCATTCTAGACAAGGGTAGGGTAACCCACCCCTGCAAAAACGTGAAATGTTACAATAAGGTGAATGCTAGCCGGCACCCTTCTTAGCCATCTCAGTAGAGAGATCACTGAATGGGTCTTAGCACTACACTTTCTTCTAGGACAGGATAGGGAAAGCTTGCAGTGGGTGCTATTGCTCACGCTGTATCCTATATGTCATCTGTGAACAGAAAGAGAACTTCAGTCTTTAGGGCGAGCAGGGCTACATTCTAGGCATATACAATTTCAACAACAGATGAGAAAATGTGGTTATAGAAAAAGATTTTTAAAAAGAAACAGCATAACAGATTTAGACTCAAAAGTCACAAGCCTGCATTATACTAACACGTCACATTCTTGTGGGCAGCCTTGTAGAGAGCGGATATTGCGAAAGCTTTTAAAGGAATGGAACAGTCATTGAAAGAATTGGACAAAGCAAGACTCAGGCAAAGCCACAGACCTGGGTGGAAGTTCACTGGGTGCTTCTGATCCCAGGAAGCCAAAGGGCAGAAAAAGGGGCAGGAAAACCACCACCAACGGCACAGTAACCTACACAGAAATCAGAGAGAGCCCCTCTCGTCCATGCTCCCCAGGCCAAGGCAGGAAGGGTCCCTACCCAGCCCTTTGTCCTGCTGTTTGAGATGACCCAACCTATATGGGATGAACCGTGCTCAGGGCGCTAAGGAAGCCGATCTCGAGCGCGCTGGGGCTCGGAGGGCTGGAGAGGAGGAAGAGGGAGGAAAATCCCGCCCCTACAAGGCAGGGATACATACAGCGCGAACCCTGCGGCCGGGGATCCCGACGCTCCCGAGTCCCTCGGAGCGGGAGGTGAAGATGCAGCCGGAGCGAGGGCTGGTGGCGGGGCGGGGAGAGGCGCCTGGCTGGGCAGCAGCCAGACTTCAGCCGCTATTTAAGGAGTCCCTTCCCGCGGGAGGGGGCCGGGCTGAGCCCCGCCCAGCCTGGGGCCGGCGGCAGGGAGCCTGGGGTCTCTTCCCCCGCGTCCCGCCCAGCCGCAGCAGCGAATGCCGGCAGGACAGCTCAGCAGCGGCTGAGGCGGCGGGCGAGGAGCAGCAGGATCCCCGGGCCCAGCTGGCTGGAGGGAGAGGGGCAGGAGGTGACTCCTGCGCTTCTCTGCCTCGCTTCCCCGGCGGCCTTGGGCCAGCAGCTCCGCCTCCCGCGCTACAGCGGGGCCTGCCTCCGCTGCTGGGTCCTAGCCCTCAGCTTCCTCCGACACAGAGGCCTCTGTGCTGGGCCCGCTCCCTGCCTCTCGGGCTGGCTCAGCAGCGCTCACAGGCGGCTGGAGTCAGCGGTGGCTGCAAGCGGATTTCAGTCTTGAGCAGCTCCCAGCTAGCCCCTCTCGGGGCCCGGGATGGCCGCTGCGGGGGTGGCCTTTCTGGGTCCGAATAGCCATGGTGGCCCCAAACCATTCCAATTACTGCTTAAAACAGTGGTTCTCAATCAGGGTACGTGTACCCTTGGGGGTAGGAAGAGGTCTTCTAGGGGGTACATCAGCTCATCTAGCTATTTGCCTAGTTTTACAACAGGCTCCATAAAAAGACCGTACAAATTAAAATTTTAGACAGACTTTTTATACTGCTCTATATACTATACACTGAAATGTAAGTACAGTATTGCTGTTCTAATTGATGTATAATTATATGGTAACAATTAGAAAGTAAGCAATTTCAGTCGGAGTTTGCTGTGACACTTTTGTATTTTTAAGTCTGTAAGAAATTTTGTAAGCAAGTAGTTTGTAAGTGAGATGAAACTTGGGGTACATAAGATAAATTAGATTCCTGAAAGGGGTACAGTAGTCTGAAAAGGTTGAGAGCCACTGACTTAAGACCTTAAGTGATCACTCTCCTTACAGGTTTCAGAGGAACAGCCGTGTTAGTCTGTATTCGCAAAAAGAAAAGGAGTTCTTGTGGCACCGTGTGTATGGTAAGACCCATTGTTTCATGTTCTTTAGGTATATACATTTCCCCACTGTATTTTCCACTGAATGCATCCAATGAAGTGAGCTGTAGCTCACAAAAGCTTATGCTCAAATAAATTTGTTAGTCTCTAAGGTGCCACAAGTACTTCTTTTCTTTTTGTGAATACAGACTAACACGGCTGCTACTCTGATACTTAAGATTGTGTCCCATCCGGTCAGCCACAAACCTGGCTCCAGCATACACATGTGGGTGACCTCTAGGTTGCAGTTCCCAAGGAAGGACCCAGTCTGTTTAGTAACAGAGGTCACACTCTGCACTCAATCCCAGTTGAGAGAGGCCTGTTGGAGATTTCTGCCCCAGGAGTAAAAGCCCTCTACAGCACACATTCTCCCTCAGAAAACCCTCTTCTCCCACTTTCCAGGCTGCTTTGGAACAATAAAAACTTGACCAGTAGGGGAGGTTTGTGAATGAGGGAGGCAGAACTTTCGCAGGAGCAGAACCTAAATTAGGGAATTTCCAGAAGAGAGAAGAATGACCCTGGAGATAGCCTCTTTCAGAATTTAGTGCATAACATAATTAATTTCTTTACTTTCTCTCAATGAGCTCCTCTCTCACACACATAAACATACCTATTGATAAAATGCTGTGATTTGCACCCAGTTTGGCTCACATAAGTGCCAATTTTCACTACAAGTGTGACAGCACTTAGTTTTCTGGTACAGCTAGAGGAATCAATGATCTAACACTTTTTGTTTGTAGAGTTAAGTGGGTCAAAGTTACAGGACCATGTCTGGAAATTGTGTTACTGACTAGGTCATCAGGCAGCACCCTTCTCCGACCATTATCTATAATTGTGTTGTCCACAGTGCAAATAAAATTGTATTAAAGCATGGATTATCCTAATTGTAGCAAACAACTATGCTCTGGGAATTTGACTTGACTTGTAACTGGGTCCTGCGGTGAGGCCCGGTCCAGCCCAATCTCACTTTTCAAGGGTTACAAAAAGTATTTAATTTAAATTAGGCTTAGAAAGATGAGGTTTTTATTGGTAAATGTTGATAAACATTGATTTCACTGAACACATACAAATGGATGAAAATATATTTTCATCAATAATAATATAGTTTAGAGCTAGGTGGGGTGGATTAACGCATGGACCCACAGAGCCTGTGCCAAGGGGTCCCGGCCAGTTTGGGGGCCTCAGGAGTGCCAGAATCTGTGTAGAATGGGGGAGGGCCACCAGCACCAGAACTGTGGCTCCAGCCGTGCTCCTCCTCTTCCTCTGATGCCCCACCCCCTGTTCTTCTTCTTCCCCCCAACGCCCTGGCCAGGCCGAAAGCTGGAGCCGGGCCAAGTAAGAGCTGCCCAAGGAGCCCAGGCCACTGTGGGGAGCACCAGACCCTCCACTTCCTCTGGGCCAGGGGTTGGGGGGGCCCAAAAGCAGACCCCCCAGCCTGTTTCCCTACCCCCCAGGGCACACCACCCAGGGCAGCTGGAGGGTCCAGGGCTCCCCACAGTGGTCCAGGCTCCCTGAGCAACTCTTAGAGGCCTTGAGGAGGAAAGCGGGAGCAGGAGGGCCCCATGGTGAGTAGGGGTACTAAGGTCCATCTGAGCCCCCCCACCACCAAGAGGAGGCTGGTGCTGTTAGCAGGGGCTGCACTTCAAGGCGGGGTAGCTTTATCAGCACAGCTCCAGCTGCCGCCACTCCACATCTGCCCAAGGCTTCGCCCATGTTAAAAAGCGGGCAGGCATGGTCCTCCCACTTTTAAAAATGGGGAGAGATGGATGCCCCCAGTTCTGGCACCCCTGAGCCTCCAGGGTATGGGGGGTCCAAATATTATTTGTGCCCAGGGCTCCAATAAATCTTAATCCACCTCTGGAGATAGGCAAAGTGAGAAAAAAATGTGTTTGAGAACTTATTACAGTTTAATTTAAGATATTTACTTTGTGTATTGTGACGTGATGTTGACAAGTTGTGTTTTATTAGTTATAAAGTTTAACTTTTTATATCTTAATGTCTGCTACCATTAAATGATTGCTTGCCCCCCCATCTGACCCCTGATAATGTCCTGCAACTGTGAACATTTAAATTGATAAAAATAAAAAATGCTTAAAACCCATAATTATGTGCAACTGTGAACATTTAAATCAATTAATGTAGACATTTGTTTAAAAATAAACACTGATATCCATTTGTGACTTTATTGACGTGAACTGGGACCGTATAGATCATTGTTGCAACCAAAGTCCTGTAGTGGCACCAAATCTTGTATAAGGGGGTCGAATAGGGTGTCTAAGACAAGGTTATGGTTTGCTAGTTGTTATACTATCTGTATATGTGTATCATTTTTGTAGTTGAAGTTATGAATATTGGCTCTATACTGTCTGTATTTCAAACTTATGCTATGCTTCTGGGTGACACCCCAAACAAGTTGGTGTAAGCTCTGCCTATCCTGCTTGATGGACCATCAGCTATACAACTGACCCATTGAGAGAAGGCAGATACACCTTTTGACTCAGCAAGGTATGCAGTGACATGCCTATGGACAGAACTCTGAGGTTTTTCCATACCATGTGATGGAAAGCTTGTCTTTGGGACAAAGAAAGCAGAGACCACATGGCAAGAGACTATAAAAAGCTGCTGCAGCTCCTCCATCTTGTCTTCAATCCTGCTTCATACCTCTGGAGGGACTGTGCTACAAACGGAAGCTCTACACAAAGGACTGATGACCCATCCCAGCTGTGGGTGTACTCGAGGCTTGATTTGAACCTGAAGTTTATTCTATCACTGCTACAAGCCTGAACCAAGAACTTTGCCATTACTGTATGTAATTGATTCCATTTAACCGATTCTTGCTCTCATTTATATCTTTTTCCTTTTTTGAATAAACCTTTAGATTTTAGATTCTAAAGGATTGGCAACAGCTTGATTTGTGGGTAAGATCTGATTTGTATATTGACCTGGGTCTGGGGCTTGGTCCTTTGGGATCGAGAGTATTGGCTCTATGGGGTAACTCCCACAAGGTAGTTAGCCAGCACATCTTGGAGGGACTATTCAAATTGAGTGGCCCATCAAAAGGACACTTAACTCACAAGGGACCATGAGAAACGCCCAACTACACTGAGTGGACTTTCCTGTGGACGTTCCATCTGATGTATAGGTAATGGCTTCCTGCAATGACTAAGCGAAATCGGGCATGGACATGTGACTTGCCCACATGACTCCAAACTCTAATCTTTTACCTGTAATTTTCCACTAGCTGTGCTGAGGGCTTTGTGTGAAACAATGGGTTTCCCTCCACATGTCAGAAGTTATAAAAGGCCCTGGAAACACCTCCATTTTGCCTCTTTCCTGCTCACGCCTCTGGACTATGGACTTATACTAATGGGAGCATTCTAACCAAGGGACTGAAGTCCTTCCAATGATTTGGAAGCAGCCAGAGACTTGACTTAAGCCAGCAGTTTATTCCATCACTGCTACAAGCCTGAACTAAGAACTTTGCAATTAATGTATGTGATTCCTTGAAGCAGTTTTAACTCTCACCTTTCTTTCTTTCTTTCTATAAATAAACCTTTAGATTTTAGATACTAAAGGATTGGCATCAGCATGATTTTTGGGTAAGATCTGAGTTATACATTGACCAGGGTGTTTGGCTGGTCCTTTGGGATCAGAAGAACCTTTTTTTTTTATGAGACTGGTTGTAAAGAATCACTCATCTTTAAATCCAGTGTTTTTGGGGTGATACAAGGACTGGAATACCTGAGGAAACTGCTTTTATGACTTCTTGTTAGCCAGTGTGGTGAAACAGAAGTTTACTTTTGTTGCTGTTTCGGTATATCTCATGGGAGAATAACCTCTAGTTTTGGGGTGTGTCCATCCTATTTCTCAGCAGTTTGTCCTGAATTAGGTATTCTCAGTTGTGACCCCCAAAGGCACGGTTACAGCGGGTATTGCAGGACAGAGGAGGTTAAGCCTCCTGAAATGCCAGGCATGGCTCCACCCATGCTCCATGACGAGGCCCCCTTCTGTCCCCTGCTGTTCCCCTGGGGCCCCAGTCCAGGCTACTCTTCTTCTCCAAAGTGGGCGGGAGCTGGAGCGGGCCAACCTGCAGCTGGGACTGCAGGGACTGGGGCCGGTGTTCGGGCTGCCTGGCATTTGGGCCGTCCAGTGCTCTGGGGTTAGGGAGCTCTTGGGTGTCCAGCGCTCCATGGCTGGGCACTGGGGCTGCCCAGCACTCTGGGGGTGGGTGGGCTGGCCTGGCACTCCAGGGCTGGGGGCACTCAGGCAGGCTGGCTGGGGCAGCCCAGGGTTAGGACTGGGAAGCAGCATCCTGGGGCAGGGCTCCTCCAGATGTGGTGGGGGGCTTGGGGCTCCAGCGGGGGAGGAGGTGGGAGGGACGGGGCCTCAGGCAGAAGGGGCAGGGACGGGGGCTAGCCTCCCCAAATGGGTGGTTCACATGCCACCCATGATCGTGCCATGGTGTCTGGAAGGTTTAAAGTACAACATATTGCTATTTATTGTGGTAGCACCTAGGAGCCTCTGTCATGGACCAGTGTATAAACACATAATAAAAAGATGGTCCTCTGCTAAAGGATTTACTAGTATGTCTCCGCTGGATTACAGTTGGACAAAGTGGTAACAAAGCTAGGCCCATT